TCCCCTCGCCCAAATTCTAGATCTTTTACAGTAAAATATTGCAAAGTACTTTGTGGTTTACTTGGTCTGCTTTAGATGAATCAGTGTATTTCCCATAAGAACACAAATTCAGAGAACTAATCTTTTACAAGAGGGAGTTCTTGGCTATATCTATTACCTGTAGGCACATTTTTTACTAGAAAAGCCACACAGTGAATTCAAATCCTTGTAAAACTGGAACTATAGGTGACATAGTTATTTTAAGCACATGAGATCCTACATTGTGATCCTGAACACCTTTTATATGATTAATGCTTGTCACTTGAAAATACTGCAGACTTCCAGACTTGCTTTCCTGTCAGTTTTGGACAGGATTCTGAAGGTACTGGAGCCTCTTCCAGCACCCCAACTGTACTTGCTGTACAGTCAGACTCAGCAGGAGCCTTGCAGCATGATCAACAACATTAAATGCCCAGGACCCAAGTTTATCTTGGATCTGAAGTACCACCAGGGCACAGATTTTAATGATATTCCTGACACTTTTGTATTCAGTGTTACTGGAGTCTTTGCACATGTTTCAATGCTATAGGAGGACAAATAATTATCTATGTTAAAAAAAAAGGGAAAGGGAGCAGTTACACAATGCTTCCAACTGTTTGGAGGTAACTTTCTCCCCATTCCTTAAGCCCAGCTCATTTGCCAAATAGTACATCAAGTCTCCAAAGTTGATTAGTCTTTTAAGAAGCCAAATATAAGGTTGCAGAACCCCTGCAAAGGAAGGGCCTAATTGCAATGCATTTCAACACCATTAACTAGTTGATGTATTTCTGCACTGAGTAAAGAAAAACAAAGTGACAGGAGTATCTCTTGTAAAGCACAGCAGAAGCTTCCACTTCCTTAAGATTGCTGCAAAATAAGCACCAAATCCGAATTCTCTGGCCAACGTGGAAACAGTTTCCTAAATCATTGATTCTCACTGAATTTATCTTACTTGGTTCCATACACCAAAACATGCCTGTACAGTCAATATGAACTGAACAGCTGTGTTTCTGTAGTTCACATCACAACTAAACATCCCAAGTGGTAGCTGACAACAGAGGTTAAATGTTGCTTGAAATTCTTTGCCAATTGGGTCAACAAAAGCCTCCAAATGAGTTATCCCTGATGACTTTTAGTAGGGATAATGTCTGGTTTGTTACTACATTTCCTTGCTGCTTCTCCCAGCCAAGAAGGCTCTGTAACAACCTGAACAAGATGTACCTGAAAGCAGTTTGATACTCATAATTCTTTTTTGATGCTATAATGAAAGACTAGGTATTCTGCAGTACCTAGAGACAGATACTGGTTAAATGTGTCCTCAACACCCTGAGAAGACAAAAGTTGCAGAATTCTGACAGGGCTTTTACAGCTGCTCATGTTTGAACTTTTGTGATGAATATTCACAACAACAGTGTGATTGCTCAGATAGTTCTGAGAGGAATGAAAACAGAACAGGAAACAAAATTGTATCTCACGTCAGGAACTCAAACATGTATCCCATGAAGTCAAAATATTTTCAGCTTTAGTTTTGTAAGGTGCTCAAAACTCCTCTCTAATCCTTAGTTTGTTCTTTCCACCTACTAGTCTCAAACAGGAAATAAAAGCAAGGTCTAAAGTAAATTTCAAAGTTAATCTGCTTAAAATTTTGGGTCTGTGTATCTTATTGGAGCTTCACACAACCCCTGCATTTGGGCAGGTTTTGATTCATACTGTAGCAAACTACCAAGATACCAAGTCCTCAGACAAGGGAATGATTTTAAGACTGGTAGAAGATAGATTTTGAGTCTGTCACTTCAATCAAGTGTACTAATCTCAGTACTGTCATTAAACCAGTGAAGGAAAATTCTCTTGTACACACCAGCCTCCTCACCACAATGGCTAACACCTTCCAACAGCACCTGAACTCCCTACACAGTGACAGACTTTCCCCTGGGAAGACACATGCAAGGGATTTCTTTGGATTCCTGCCTTCAAACAGGGAGGTGCTACATTGCAGGGAGGAGAATAAAAGGAGAAAACAAAATCAACCCACACACCAGGCAGAAAATCACCAGATCAAAACAAACTGACTCCAGAGGAAAGACAACAAGATTTGATGAAGTTCATTCCAAAAGCTGCTGCTGTTAACAGGGAAATTTAAACAAAAGCACGCTTCCCACAGAACATCTTGCAAGTCCATACCATTATTTACACTCAAAAAGTGTGGGGGGGGAGTGTAAGGGGAAAGAGAGAGAGAGATCATGGGGAGCCCAATTTTTCAGAAGGACAGGATGAGACACAGCTGATCTTTATCAGCAGGATCTCTTCTGGTCAGAGCTGCAGTAGAGCCTGTGTGACACCTGAGGCAGGAAGCTGCACCGACACCCGCACACACTCCTGGCCATCAAGCAAAGTGTGTCCTCCCCTAAGCCAAGGACTGCTTCTGACCAAAGCAGCCCACAAGACACTTGAAAAGCAAAAAGAAAGACAGCAAAAGAAATAAAAAAGTCCAGCTACTTCCTACTGCCCTTCCTTCTACCCATTCGAAGATTTGAGCTCAGTAATGTTGCTGCTCTGAGGCTCAGCTTTTAAACACCCTCCTTACCTGTGAGACCAACTGCATGAACAGTTTCACCAGTTACTTTTGTGTGTGCATTGCACACAGATATGTAACAATGGAACTAATTCAGGGAGAGATCTACAACCTAAATTACTGTGTTAACCACCTTCAAAAGCTAGGAGACTTGTAATTGTACTTGAGTATTTTAAAAAAAAAAAAATTAAAAACCGTGTAGTTGCATAATAATTAGAAGTTGCAATTTAAAGGTAGCGCATAAGAAAAGAGTGTTGTCCCTTTAGCAAAAGCATCTGTAGTGTAATTTATTCACTGTTAGCTTAGACAAACAATAAAAAATGGGTCCAGATCTTACAGATGAACATGTGAGCTTCACAAGTGCTGAGAACACTCCTACGTGTCCTAAGGCAGCTCAGGAGCTTCACTAAGGCTGCAGTCATGTTTATTGCCACATTTAGCTGCCACACACGAAGAATCCTCGAGCGATCTATTCAGATAATTTCATTTTATTCATGAATAAATCACATCTGCTTTATTCAGTTTCTTACCCTATTGTTGGGTTGATGTTGGGATCAAAGCTATCTTCTACAAATCTCCACACGATACTTGATTTGCCCACACCAGTGTCCTAAAAAAAGAACAGAAACAGTTGAAAGTGACATTAGTTACTATAAACAGATGATATTTTGTCCTCAGATCTTGCAGTACATGGTGATAATACATTCCTGCCGAGAATCTCAGAGAAATTAGATGATGAAATACTTCAAGTATTATGTTAATTTAGTAGAAAAAGGAAAGGCCTGTGACAAGCCACAGTTTTCTAAATGAAATTGCTGCGACTTTTCATGAAGGACTATAAAAATCTGCATTCACACTTATTATTTATTATTCAAACTTTTCTTTCCCAAAGTTACGCAAAACTTACAATTGAACAGCAGCAGGGAAAGACCACTATTAGTAAAATACACAGCAACTGAGTATGGCTTGGCAGGATGGAGGACCAATGGAGCACATGGAATTATACAAGTGTGACACATGCATTCAACCTCTGACTAATGCTGTCCCACCCTGCTTAATGAAAGACTTGAAATTTCTTCTGTGACACACCTGAAACATGTTACTAATGCAACTCTACAAATGGCAGGAGAGGAAACATAACGTGAAAATTCTGGGTCGTGTATGTTTTTGCACCACTGATTCCATGGTGAAAAAAATAGATGTATAGAAGTCATATCTAGAACTGAAATTACTCAGTAAACTCTTCTCAGTAGATGGACATCTTAAATTGTAATGTAATTAATACATTCAAAGACCAACTTCTTGCTTTATATCTCCAGAGTCATCAAAATTTTAGTGAAAAAAAACCCTGAGGAAGTGCTTCACTGAAAATGAAGCTGTACATTATTCGTATGGTTTTTTGAATCTTCTGAATATTGCAGTAAATTTGGGTGCAGTACGTATGACTCAGTTTACCCTGTCAAGCCGTTTTCCTCTCGAGGAAAAGCATATTATCCCAGTTCTTCTAAAAAAACAACGTTTTATATTGTTTGCAGTCTTATTAAGCAGAGCAAACCTTAAACAGAGAAATACAGATGTGGCTCCCGGCTCTGGGAGTTCCAGTTTTCCTGGGTGCTTATTCTGCTCTTCTTACGTGACAAAAGGCTTCTCAGGTCGGGTGGACACAAACAGCAGTTACCCCAAATGCTTTCGTAACGCGAAGGGCACACAAACACATAATTTTCCCCTCTGAAGGTCAACGTGGCCATTTAGAAGCAGAAAACTCTTGCCCGACTCTGTTCAACACAGGGTTTCGATGCAGGTAGTGGCACCTCCACCTGCTCAACGAGAGGCTCCCTGGCTAAACCAAGACTAAATTCACAGCCCTGAATTCTTTAAACTTCTGCTTCAGTTTGCACCACGACTCCTTCTTCCCCCACCTGCAAGGCTTCCAAGCCTCCGTATGTCCTTAAAATAAAAGTTCAGGCCCCTCCCTCTCTCCCACCACTTTGATTTCAGGTGCTTCTATTTACCTTGCGATCTCCAAGCCCGGAACAGCTTGTGAGGAAGAGGGAAGCATACGGTGGACGTTCGTGCTTCCTCTCTCATTTTTAAAAGGAGAACACGGGGAAAAAAGGACCGATATTGACGGCTGGCAAACGCCTCCCCTGAGGAGGGGAAGGCCCGCTCCCCTCAGAGGGACGGGGCGAGGGGCACCCTCCGCCCGGGGAGCGGATCCCCGCGGCCGGAGCCTCTCCGGGCTCTGACAGAGGCTCCCCACCATCACTGCGGAGGCTCTCCGGGCTCTGACAGAGCCTCTCCCTCCCGCTCCCACCCTCCCTTCCGCCGCCCCACACTTACCCCCAGAAGGCAAACTTTGAGCTCCCTCAGCGCCATGGCCGGGCGGGCTGCGCCTTCAGCGAGCGCCTGAGACGCGGCCCAGCTCGATCATCGCGGCCGCCCCGCGCCCACCCCGGTTACCCGCGCCCCGCGCTCCTCCTCAGGCTGCACGGCCGCGCCGCCATCTTGGGCGGCCGCCGGAATCCCCGCCCGCGCCCCCCGCCCCACTCTTCTTCTCCTCAGGCGCTGAGGGGCCGCTCGACCCCCGGCAGCCGCGGCTCGTGCAACCCGGTGGCGTTTCGGGGCTGACCCGGCGGCAGGAAGCGCCGGCGGCTCCTCCCTGTGCCCTCCCGCTCCTCCTCCTCCTCGCCCATGTCCATTCCAAGATGGCCGGTAAGTGGGGCCGGCGGGCGGGCGGCTCAGCCGGGGCTGCCCCGTCCCTCCGAAACCAACCCCCCTGGTATCTCTCTTCTGTTTTTCGTTTGTAGGGATCCCTTTGTATTTTGTGGATTTGCAGGATGACTTAGATGATTGTGAGTAACTGTTTTTTTTATTTTTCCGCTCCCCGTTCAGGCCCCCGCTCCCGCCCCGGGGTCCTCCTGCTGCCCTCTTTCCCTCTCCGCATTTCCACCCCGGTGAGGGCGAGGGGAGGATGTTGAGGCAGTTCTAGCAGGTGAAGGTGTACAGGGCGTTGGGACCATCCCCGCTGGTTCCAGGGGCCGCTGGGCTCGGTGTAAAGAGCAGCTCCGGCAGCTCCGCGATGAGCCTGGAAAGGCACACGGGTGGCTCGGGGGAGCAGCCCCGCTCCTGTGGTCGGTGGGAATTAAGGAATTGACTTTCCAAGGCTGTAGAGGCTGCTGAGGACGCGTGTTCCGCTGTTCTGCATCCCCGGGATGTGCTGCGAGCGCACCTCGGGATAGAGGGAACAACAATCGCCGTGTGTGCTGCGGTTGGGTCGCACAAAGCCGTGGTTTTGGGCTCAGTACCCTGTCGTGGGTCCCAGGGCAGGGAACAGCTCCACCCAAGCCGGTGTAGTCCAGGGCTGTGTTACAGAAGAGTCGGACACCTGTCAGACCTGGGCACGGCTTGGTAAGCGCTGTGATTTAAGGAGATAAAGCCTTGACTAACAATGATACGAACTTGTATGGCTTTAGAAAGCAGCTTTCTTTGCGGGGTGCTTTCATTAGCACTTCGGATGCTGGATTGACTTTTCTATTAAAAAGAAATGAAGAATGATACTTGTGTGTGTTTCTTGTGAGAAACTGTTTTTGTTTACCACAAAACCGTTATTGTTTAATAGTGCTTGAAAACGTGTAACAGATTTATTAAGAAGATGGTCTTCAGAACACCAGGGGAAATGCTGGGATACAAGTGGGATCCCAAGTCTTCCATTAAGGAAGATGTGCAGGGATGTGCAGAGCCTCCCACCTCTGTGGGAGGAGGTGGCTCTGTGGGATTCTGTTAGTTGTTGCTCTCAGTCTTTGAGGTTTAAAGTGCAAACAGCAGAAATAAATTCGAACTTAGTAGTGGTTCTGTTATGGGTTTTGGCCTTGGACCAGGGGTGCCCATCCCTGGAAGTGTTTGTTCTGTATTAGTGCTCAGTCTTTGGCTGTTTTGTTGAGACTGTGATACATTTGCCTGGTAAATTGATTAAAAAGTTTGATGCTTCTAAGGCAAAACTCCAGTTAATAAAAATGTCCAGATAAAGAAGTTTTTGCCATAAGTGGTAATTAATAAGAGAAATTATCAGTTTCAGCATGAGCATATAAATAAATGTGCCTTTTAGAGCATTATTAAAGTCTTATTTTATGATTTAAAATACTCTTTGATTAAGTTCACTAATTTGATAACACAGTTAGAATTATGGAATCAAAAGCTGTTGTCTCTGTGTTGTAGCAGAGTTCAGGGGTCCCATCTGAGATATTGTTGTGCTAATCAGTGACTTAGATTAGCAAAGAGTTCATGATGTGTTTTAGGGAAACCTCAGTGAAATATATCACTGGAACTGGACTTTTACTTTCTTAACTAAATTGGTGAAAGTGTCATGCACACTGAAGATTGAGACAGAGTCTGGAGGATCACTCTGAATGTGGCAAAGGGCTGTTGTAAAATCTACCTAAATTCAAGTGCAGTTTGAAACTTGTTTTCTCTAAGATGAGATAATGGATCATCTGGAAAAATAATTAGCTTATTTATGCCCTTTGAACATTTAAAAAGAAAGTATTTAAAGAATTTGGTTTTCCTTCTACAAACACCAGGAGGGAAAATGACCTCCTTGAGCTCATTAAATCGTTGCACTCTGCACTGGTATTTACTGGTTTGTGTTGTGAAATGTGAATAGTGGCACTGGGAGATGACATTGAGTTGCACCCTTAGATCCTGTGACCCTGAGTTTCTTACAGGCTCTAAGCAGCTTTTGAGTCTGGGGCAAACTGAGACACAGTGAACTCGAGTGCAGCTCTGGGTACTGGCACATTTATTCCTCCTCAGAGGTGGACAGATTTCAAGCTTACTTGTTTAATATAGTTAAATAGGAAAATACTGAATGTTAGATTTAGCTGTGAAAGAACTAAGAACATTAGACAAGAAATGCTAGTTCATTATTTGTGATTTACTTCATAGTACTCTGGTGTATTCTGAAACCTGTAAGTACCTATGGCTTCCTTTTTTATGGAAAAAGAAAAAATTCCTGAGAGAAGACAAAATGGATTCTGCCATGATTATTCCTTACTTGTGTGTAGTGAGTGTGTGTGGAAAAAATTTCAGGTATTTAACTCTCCATCTTGAGCATAAGTAATAGTGCTCTGTTTTCTCTCTACCCTTGGAAGCACTGGTATGTGCTTAGGTAATTTAAATGAATAATAGAGCTACTTCACGTAGTAAAATTAAACATGTTTATCATGTTTACAAAACTAGTCCCAGGTGTGGTATAGCAGTCAAAGTTAGAATTGGGATTTATTTCATTGTCATTTGAATTGGTAGAAATTCTGAAATATTGGAAGTGAACTAATAAAAGCCTTCATTTTTAAAGTATTTTTAATTGGGGACAGGTGGGAGCCAGGTGGAGTTAATGACAAGTATATTGCTCCTAATTGTTTTCTTGAGCCCTAATAAATCTTTCTTTGTATAGCAGGTGACTAGGCTCAAAAATTAGCTAGTGAGTGTTCAGTCTGTGTGCATTTTAAAATACATTTGTTATAACTGTAGCTATAAGGATGATGAGAGTCGAGTGTGGATGTGGAGGGTTTGTTGCAACCTCAGGAAGGAAATCTGCAATCCCCCAGACACTGTGTAACTTCCCCTGAGCTGTCACGGATACAGAGGTTCCTTTTGAAGCAGCAAATCTGGATGTTCAGGTGCTGTGATTGGGGAAGTCCTGGAGCAGATGGATCCCAGACGGATCCCTGCACTGGAAATTGTTTACACTGGTGCAGAGACATGTTTTGAACCTGACAGGCCTTTCTTTAAGGAGCAGTGGGGTGGAAATCAGGGTGTCAGTGCAATACCTCATCACCATACAAAGCCATGAATAATTAGCAGCTGTTTCTGGTCATGTAGCTGTGGGTTCATGTAGTGCCTGTGTGTACATTTGGGATTTGAACACTTATTCTAAGCCCACAGTTTTCTGCTGTTTGAACCCCACTGAGCTTGTTGAGCACGTTGTCTGCATGAGCAGCAGAATTTGGAATTGCTCTGGTCTTTAACTCACCTGGGTTCTGTGGAGACCTTAAACCAATCTGATTTTTATGTTTTTCCCCCTGAGGACCCAGGTATAACATTTTGCTCCGAGTACGTTCAGATAATTTCCTCTCTAAATGAGCCTTATTTCTGAGGATGTTTTGACTCATGTTAAATAGTTGGAAAGGAGAGTTTTATATATGAAATAAGAATTTTTCTATTGGAAAAATAGAGGGATTTTTAACATTAAAAGTGATTTATAATGGGTATTACTGTAGTTTAGAGCCAAAGAATTTGGCTTGTTGTCTTCAGTGGTTGTCACTCTCAGCACATGTGCTGGTTTGCAATACTTCATGCATGTGAGAAGCTGTGTTGGCACAATTTGCATTTATTTAAGTATGATCACAGTTGCTCTGTTTGTGTGAAAGAAGTGTGCATAGTTCTAGGAGGGGACAACTGTAAACCCAGAGCAGGAATATCAGCTACTCCAGTGCCCCTCTTTCCATGGAGTTGGTTGCTGTACATGTTCCCGTATCCATGGCTGGAATGAGAGCACTGGTGTGATGCCAGCGTGTTATTTCACTGTCTCTGTTTTAAGGATGAAGGATTAAAATAAGTCTGACAGCAAAGTTATCCCGTTCCATTTCCTTCTCACAGTTTTACCTTCTGCCTGTAATCTGTAATTGTTACTGGATTAGGTGACTCTTGGACTTGGTGAGGCAAAGTTAATACTTGGGTAAAAGTCTAAAGCTGCAAATACAAAAAAGGTTTAGAACAGAGTATGCTTATGTGGAAAAGTCTGTAGTTGATGGATCTGCAGCAGGAAGCCCCCAGCATATTCCCAAGTATGGTGAAGGTGAAGTTTTTCCCAAAGCTACCTGTCTGATTTAAATATGTGCAACTCAGTAACTACAGTGAGAAAAATGTCCCCTGGGAAGTTGGAAAAAGACATAGGAATTTGCTGTTTTAAAGCAATACAGTTTGAGAGTTGTAACTCTAAAACTGTTAAAATTTCAGTTCCTTTTAATGGAACTTATTTTCCCTTTGAATTTGTGGGTCAGTTTGTGGCAATTGTGTGAGCTGAGCCCTCTTAACTCAAAATGCATGTGGTTACTGCACTCAAAGGGCAAAGTCAAGTGTGTTTAAAGCCAAGGATTTTGACAGCTGAATTAAATATCAAAGCTTAAATTTACAGGGCTATGTGCAAGTGTTGCACTCAACTTCATTAGATACAATTTAAGATTTTTTGTTTTTGGAAAGCTGTTTCCAGTGATGTTCAAATACTCTTGAAGAAATAGTTACTGCTATCATGTATTCCATTGTAACATCTCTTGCTGACTCTTGGGTTGTTTTTTTTTTTGTCTGTTACTTTTGTTGTCTTTCAAGTTGGATTTGAAGATTATGGGCCAGACTGTGATAGCATGAGGATAACAGCATTCCTGGATATCCCTGGACAGGATAACTTAACTCCACTGGCTCGTCTAGAAAAATATGCCTTCAGCGATAATGTCTTTAACAGGTAAGGGTGCAACAGCCACACCTGGTGACAACTGAGTGCACTGAGGGTGTTAAGGTGTCACTGTGTCTTTTATTAATCTCCCAAACACATGCATATTATTATTTCTATTTGAATAACTTTTGTATAACAGTTCCATGAAAAGAGGTTTTCGTTCTTGGTTATCTGAATAAGTTCTCTTGATTCCATCTTTCTTTGGTTGGGATGTAGAATGGTCAGAGGTCTTTTTAAGGTGCCCATTTGATAAGTTCCCCTGGTGTCCCATCTACGTGTTTTTGGCTGGATATTATGGCAATTAATGTTGTTCACTCCACAGGCAAATTATTGCCAGAGGTCTTCTGGATGTCTTTCGAGATTTCAGTAACAATGAAGAAGACTTCCTGACTGTAATGGAAATAGTGGTCAGGCTCTCTGAAGATGCAGGTTTGAAAGCTTTGTTTTGCTTGGGTTTTTTAATTTTTGTAGTTTATTTTACATAAACTGCAATATAGAAAGTACTGACATTCAATTTTGAGAGACAAAGAGTGAACTAAGGGAACTAAATCATCCAACAGCAATGTCTGTCAATGAAAAGAAGATCAATTTTTCTCTGCTTTTGAACTATGTTGTGTGGTAGATAAGATGTTAAATGAAAGGTTCTTACTTAGAATAGGGCCTGAAGTGATATTTTTCAAGAAATTTATTACATCTGACTGTGTGGTGTAGGTGGCACAGAGCAACTGTGTGTTTTAATACCTCATGTGCATGTATTTGTGGTGACTGGGTTTTCCAGTGCCCTCATTTTATCTGATTTGTTTGGGAAGTCTCTGATGCCAAGTGTCTGAACTGTGATGATGTATGTAAGGCTATTCCATTTTATTTAGTTTTCCTTAAAGAACAGGCAATCTGTGATGCCCTTTCTATATTTTGATTATTTCCATTTTCCTCTATTGCGAAAACAAAAAGAAAAACGCTACTTTTTCCTTAAGGTACCTGATCTTAATTTCACACTTACTAATGTAGTTTTGCCTTTTATTTCTAGAGCCAACTGTACGTACAGAGCTGATGGAACAGATCCCTCCCATTGCCATTTTCCTGCAGGAAAGCAGACCAAATTTCCCAACAGCATTTTTTGAATACCTTATGCCCATAGTAGTGAGATACCTCACAGATGTTAACAATCAGGTAGGAAAAAGCAGACAACATGAGTTGAGTTGTTGGAAAATTCTGTGTGGTTCAGTGCATTGGAGGCATGGGAAAGAGATAACAGGAAATTCCATACTGATTGACACCTGGCTTTTATGCAGTGCTCTGTTTACTGGTGTCAGCACATTTTTCTGTGAGGTCTGATTTTTTTCATTTTTTTTTTTAATACTTTCCTTGGCAGATAATGGGAAACTTATAGCATTGGCTCAGCAGCACAGGGAGGGGGTCTGTTACAGGAGTCATAACTTGCAAATCCTGCTTTATGCTTCATCTTTTGGCTTCTCATCAGAATATGATGAAATGTCATCTAATGGTTATATTAAACTGTAGTCTTTATTACTAATTCCTCATGGTCATAAAAGTGAGACTCTTTATGGGTCTGCTTTGTTGTTTTTTTAACTTGTACCTGTGTGTTCATTGAAAAAATGGGTTTTTTTGTGGTTCTCATGTCAGTAAATGTTGGTTTTATGGTGACAAACTGGTGTTCCTGTGTCCAGGTTAGAAAGGCAGGTCAGGAGGCACTGCTGATACTGCTGGAACAGGACCTTGTGGCTCAGAGTGACATTGAAAACAAAGTGTGTCCCATCCTGCTGGACCTCTCTGCCCCTGACAGTGATGATGAGTACAAGGTGGAAGCTGTGAATGTAAGTTTATAACGTTAAATTATAATGGTAATTAAGATGAGGTCCAGGAATAATACTACCATTAAATAAGCAATCAAACTTTTTGGGTTCATTCTTTAAGATATTTGGATTTTTTAGTTTAACACGACAAGTCTTTAATTTTTGTTCTGAATTCTTGAAAATACAGAGAGACCATTTTTATACTTCAGCATGCTAAATGATGTCAAGATGGTACCTGAATAACTTTAAAATACAATTGCTCCTTGGCAGCCTTGTTTTAATTCTTCTTGAGATTGTTCTATTCCCCAGCAGTTTCTTTGCATTTGCTCCACCAGGTTTCACAGTAACGCTGTAGATGTGTCAGAGATGACCTCTCTGAGTTCTGAGGTGTTATGAAAAAAACATTGCCTGGTGACTTTATGGAAATCAGTTGACTCCACAGAAAAGTGCTGGTGTGTAATTACATTTCAGCATGGATATCTGACACTTGACCTGTAAAATATTTTACCAGCTAGATTTTCCTCTTCCTTGTTTGGGAGTTGGGAATTGCTTAGGCAGTTTTCCAGGATGACATCTGAGCACCAGATGCCTTTTAGGAGTTGGAAAATTTGTAGGAAAGTCCTTGAATGGTGTTTTCCTTCGTTCTTATTTAACATTCTGTTAAAAAGGCAAACATTTATTCCTAGAAAGGAATAAAGCTTATTTCTTGTGGAGGTAGAAAGCTCCAACATGTTTTGGAAAATAAAAATAGATGAGTACTGTTAATCTGACAACACCTGTGTAAGCATTAAACTCCTGTTGCTGTGGGCAGAGCAGTTGAGTAGGAAGGTGCATGGGAGCCCCTTGCTTTTTCCTGTTACAAATACAAGAATTACAGAAACTTATCCCAGAAATTGGGAACTGAAAGAAAACACAGAGTCCAAAGCACCTGATTTTTCACAGCAGAAACATGGTTTGTAATGGTAGTGAAAATGTTACTAACTTCCTTTAACCTGTGCACTGTTAACTCCTGAAATTCCTGAGGATCAGTCCTGTACAGTGTGCATTAGCTCACATATATACCTAGTTTTTCTTGCACTCCCTTTTCTCTCCTGTTGTATGGCAAACTTGTGTTTAATGAGATAAAAGCCAATGAATTACATGCAGAAATGTTGTGTTCAGGCACAGTGGCATAGAATGATTTAAAATAAAAACTATAGTTGTCTTTCACGTGAAACAGGTGTATAAAAACACGAATAATGTGTAGTCAGATAGTTAAATCTATCTGACTTTTGCTGTCTTGCTCTCTGAGGTAACTTTTAGGAGGAATATTTGGCTGTGTGTACAAGCTTTATAATTTTCTTCTCCTTCCACACATCCCTTTCCTGTTTTTCAGATAATCTGTAAAATGGCCTCTATGTTGAGCAGAACAACAGTTGAGCACATGCTGCTTCCTCGTTTCTGTGAACTGTGCAGTGATGGCAAATTGTTTCAAGTCCGAAAGGTTGGTGTGTTTCCAACTCTTAAGCTACCTAAAAATGAAACTTGCATGTTGCTGTTCAAATCCCTTCCTAAATAATTTAGTCATTACTTTAGCTGATGAACTCTGAAAGCATCTGGAAGAGCAGTTTTTATTTATTGGCACAGTTATAGCTTCTGTGGTGCAGTAAAGAAATGGATAACAGACCTTGGTGAATAGCTTTGGTCCAGCAGTTAAACTGGTCTTGCACATTTAATAGTTTTGCACAACTTTTTTTTTTTAAAGCTGCTGTGAGTGGTTATAGGATGCAAACAAATTACCTCATCTCTACCATCTCGTTTAAACCAGAAATTCAAAAATAACAGACATTTGAGACATCCTTCCTTTAATTTTTTTTTTTTTTTAAATCTATTGCTATTGAAAGGAGAAATCCCAGAAGTATAATACATTAATTCATGTTTGAGTACAAAAGGAAACTTGTAGCATAAGAAGTCTTAAAATATTTGAGTAGACTTAAGGGTCACGCAGAGCTCCAGCTTGGTCTGTAACATAAACTGCACTTGTTGGAATTTGAGCTGCATTATAGCCTTGTAAATAAGCACATAAAGTGAATAGAATGAGTATTAACACAGTCCTATCTTAATTGATTTCAGATTTTGGCAACATCTTTTTCCAGCATGAGGGGATGTCCCTTTTGCCTTAATTATAGCTTCTCTAATGGCCTGGAAATGGCACTAACTTGAGCCCTTGATTAAACTTTGCCTCAGCAAAGTACTTAAGCCACCTTGAGCCAGGATAGTTCTGTCAGTACACCTAAGTCCTGACCCTGGTATCATGTGTTCCCCTGCTTTGGGTTTGACAGCTGCTGCTCAAAGTAATTTAAACTTTCAGGCAGGGTTATTGTCCCTTCTGTGGTTACTGAGGTAGATGATGCTCTTCATGCACAAACCTTTGTCACTATAGATTTCCAAAGCATGTGGTGTGTGGACACTGCATGGAACAAGTCTTTGTTTGGGATGAGTTAATGTTACACACTGTAGTTACAGGGCTGAAATTTGAATAGTCCAAACATGTGCAGTTGTTTTGTGGGATAAATAATCCATGGGGAAGTTGATGATAATAAAACTAATGCCCTTGAAGGAGACACAGTGTTGTTAATGGCTTTTTTATTTCTTAGATTTGTGCAGCTAATTTTGGTGACATTTGTAATGCAGTTGGGCAAGAAGCCACAGAAAGACTGCTGGTATGTAAAACCAAATCAATTTACTTTCTCAGTTCAAAAAGTTTAATAATGTGCTCTTTTATTGTCTTGTCTATAAATTATTTAACATGCATGCTTTTTTTTAGTTGATTAGGTTAAGGCCTTGGTCACAATTATATAGCAAAACTGGGAATGAAGAGAAATGCAAAGTTCTTGTTTTGCAAAACATGTTTAAAAATGTAATTGACAGCAGATATTTTTATATACATACATATTTTTATGTATGTATATATACATTTTATATACATATATATTTTTATATACATACATACACACTTTAGAATTACTGACTCACTCTTTTTTTCCCAGAACTAGATAATCAATCAAGTCATGATTTCAGGAAACATAGGCCATTCATAATTCTTTCTATTCTTCCTTATTACATATAATTATACATAAAATCCTAATGGATTAAATGGGAGACAGCTGGGGTTTTTTCCCAGTTCCTTCAATTAGTGTATGTATTTAACCTGTCCCTCTTTCTGTTCTTCACTTTGTTCTCTCGAGTTGTGTTTGTGTCCAGTTTTCAAATACCATGATATTGCTGCAGACTGTGTTTAGCCTTTAATTAGTCTTGGGTTTGCTTATTTTTGGCAGATTCCCAAGTTCTTTGAGCTCTGTTCTGACAGTGTCTGGGGGATGAGGAAGGCCTGTGCTGAGTGCTTCATGGCAGTGTCCTACACCACGTCCCCAGAGGTTCGCAGGAGCAAACTGTCCCCCCTGTTCATCAGCCTCATCAGTGACACCTGCAGATGGGTGAGTAACTCACCCTGGAATTGGTGCATCTTCCCAGACATCCTGGGAAATAATGGGCAAGTCAGAAGTATGCTGAAGAACATTTGCTGAGATTGGAGTCTAATGCACTAAAACCAAATCTTTTCTATTAAGACAGATCTTATTTTTCCTCTCTCATTACTTTTAAAGAACCCTGTTCATAGAAATTCTAACTGTAAATACACTTCTGAGAGAAGGTTGCTTGTGTTAAATAGATTGAAGTAGACAGGGATGTCCTTCAAATTGATAACTTTTAAAATATTTCTGTACAGTGATTGTAGTTACATGATTGATATTCTAACACCCTTTACTTAGGTGGCACTTATTTGGTACTTGGTTGTATTTTGTATTAAATGAAGCTGTTACAGTAAGAACCAATCGGTTCTTCCTAAAAAATTGCACCAGTTTTTCATTTTTCAACTCTGTGGGAGCTGATGAAGCCTGACTGTTCTTGCACCCCCCCCCAGGTTCGTCAGGCTGCTTTTCAGTCTCTTGGCCCATTTATTTCTACCTTTGCAAACCCTTCAAGTGCTGGGCTTTACATTCGAGAAGATGGGACACTGAGTATCCGACCGCCAGCACAAGATGGGAATTCCAATTCCTGTCAGCCAGGCAACAATGTCACTTTAATGTCCTCCAGTGCAAATGCTACACTGTCCAGGTAAATAGTGGGAAAACGGGTGGTGTAGTGGAAGGGATTAAAAGAAGTTAGTTGGTTTTGTTGCTTGTCAAGGCTAAAGATCTCAGCTTGAGAATATAGTTCTAGAAAAGAAGAAGTGAGATCACACATTTGAGTGTAGCCAGTTTATTGAAAAATTCACTTTACCTTCACCAGAGGGTGAAAACTGGTGCAGTAAAGCATAGTGGTAACATAAATTCTGTCTTTCTGTAGAGAAAAGCTTCTGTTGTTGCTGGTGTCTTTTATGAATTATTTCACTGAAAACCTGCTGTTACAGAGTATTTCAGTAAGTGTGTGTGTCTGTTACAGCTCAGAACAACCAATGGAAATCAAACCAGAAGCACCAACGGAGGAGATTTCAGCGGAAGTGAACACAAAGCTCTCTGAGAACCTGAATAAAGACACACGGGAAGAAGGTTCAGATTGTTGTGCCAGTCCTGGAGGAGATGTGTCTTGCCTGTCTCAGGGTGCCAGAGCTGGTGCTGGTGTCCCTGAGGTCACCAAGGACAGCAGTATCCCTGGAATGCCCTCCAGGTCTGGCGAGGACGTGTTCAACACGTTCCTGTACTGGCGCCCTCCTCTGCCTGACATCACTCGGGAGCTGGAGCTGTTCCAGTTCAAGACTGAGAAGCACAACGAGAGCTGTTCTGTGCCATGCAATAACTGTGTTGCTAGTAGTGAAATAAAAAAGGTTCTAGAAAGCTTACAAGAGCACATAGATGATCCAGATGTTCAAGGTGAGACTCTGTAGTAGTAAAATCATGTTTTCTCTGAGCAGGTTTTCTCCTGGCCTTTACAAAACCCCTGACTGCTTTTTAATTGACCTTCCTTGAGCACTAAATTATAGCAGAAAGTTATGCAACAGCCTTTTTCATAAGACCTGAGTTATTTCTAGAACAGCTGGGGAAGTGTTCCTGGCTTCTGTTGGCATGAGAAATAAATTGATCTAACTACAGAAGGGTTGTTAAAGAGACAAGAGCTTGTTAAAGACAGTTTTAACAGATTCCAAATACTGTAGGTACTGTGGTTTTAGTGACAGTGCTGCCTGTGATCAGCTGAATTCATCTAATACTTGGCTGAGAATGGCCCTAATTCCAAATTATCCCTCCATAGCCACCCAATATAGGCCCGTTGTGGAACACATTGAAGTGATAATGGCCTGGTAGTGGGGTCTGAGGGTGTTTCCTGGACCGAATCCATCTTTGTCATCCATAGTCAACTCAGTTTCTTGTTTCACCAAGTCTCTTGAGTGCTCTGGAGTAAGAGGCCTTTTCCTTCCAAGAGCAAACGTTTGTGAACACACCATTTCTGTGCAGCTCATACTGCGCTTCTTTTTTCAGATGAGTTAATTACAAGTTTAATGCTTTTAAATGCAGAAGGGAGACTAAATAGTCATTTGTGTTATCCAGCTCAGGTCCAAGTGTTGTCTGCTGCTCTCAGAGCTGCTCAGTTTGATTCTGTTGGTGACTGTGAGACCAAAAAAATGGAAGAAAGCAGTGGCAATCTTCAGAACAAAACCATTTCAGATGAAGCAGCTGTTTCAGATGCTGCCTGCACCCAGGTACAGGAGGACAGTCCCTCATCCCCTGCCTCCCAGGAGAACTTCAGTGACCAGTCAGCCACCAGTCTGCTGAAAAGCACAGTAAGTAACTTCTGTGCTCCATGTCTGAAAGGAATTCCTGCCTGCACGAGTCCTGGGTGGGTTTGTGTAGTCCCTGGCATAACTGACCCACTTCTGATCCAAAGCCCTTGAGCATTACTAGGCCACAGCTATCACATTCTACTTACTCTGATTAAAAAAGAAAAGCCAGTGAGGGCTGTCATTTCTGTTTGCACCCAGATGACCCAGGAGTTAGTTTGGCAGGAGTCTTGCAGGATTTTTCCTGATCAAATGTAGCAAGTACAGTCTCACCTCTTCCTGAAATGGATCTAATTTTAGTCTTTTATCTCTAGACAGGAGGCTGAATCAGGTGGTGACACACATGCAGTTCCTGGTTACTATTTGTTGATTACAACATACAATTAGGAGTAAAAGGAATTGTTGGCACAGTATTTAATCATGCTGGAGCTAAGGGTGAAATAAAAAGACAAGCAGCTTGTCCATGAACAAAAATGTAAAATACTATGTGAACTTTGGAGATTTGTGTGGTTTTGTTCTTTTAAACTTTTAGTTCTTTTGAAGCTTTTTGTTGATATTTGGGGAGAAGAATTCCCAAATGACAGATTTGGGAATTTTCATCAGTTTGTCCTAAAATACCTTTAAATAATTTTTTTTTTTAATTATGATCAGAATTAGATTAAATCTAACTCCTGCTGCCCTTGTTGCTGCCATGGTCTGTAGTGTTTGCCTCGGTGTACAACTCTGTTGTCTCTTTGTATTTGCATAAACACACTGAACAAGGCTCTGCCTGTGCAAGACTCTGCCTGCAAAAGGCTTTTCTGATCTGAGCTGCATTGTCCTGCTGTGTGATGCTTTGAAATATCCCAAACAGCACCAAGTCTCATTCATTTCTCTACCTAGTATCTCCTTTTCCAGGACTCAGAGGAACAACACAGAGGAACCAGTGTATTTTTAAGGAAAGAGCAAGAAGATAATCCACCGTTTGAAGATGACAAGTCAAAATTCCAGGTGATTAAAATAGCATCTAATGGCTTTAGTGCAGTGCTGGATACAGTTCATCTTACCCCTAATGCAGTGATTTGCAAGGGATCAGTTGCAGAATGTGAAGGAATGCTCTGGGATTTGAGGGGAACCCTGTTTTAAATGAGAAAATTAGAAACATTCTGTTGCCTTTTTGGTGTCTTTGAGGCAACCTGTGCAGCCAAGGCAGGCACTGACTGTGCTGGTTGATGCAGTGTGTTGATAAAGTAGTAATGACTGTTCCTTCCTGACTGCTCTGTCCCAAAGAGAGGAGAAAGAAGTGTTGGGGTCATGCCCTTGGGGAAGGTCCCCCACCCAGGGGTGCCTTGCTATGCTTTGTTTGCTGCTGACGGGTTGGGAGCAAGAGAACTGGAGCACAACAGGTGTATTGTCTTTCTGCCCTTGAATTCCCATGTGTGTCACTGATTCCCTGTCTCTCTGCAGGATATTATCCCTCAGCCCTTACTGGACCAGTACCTGTCCATGACTGACCCAGCTCGAGCCCAGACTGTGGACACGGAGATCGCCAAGCACTGCGCCTACAGCCTGCCCGGGGTGGCCCTGACACTGGGCAGGCAGAACTGGCACTGCCTCAAGGACACCTACGAGACACTGGCCTCAGATGTACAGGTAAAGGAAAAGAAGGTTTGTAGTGATAAATCAGAAGTTTGAGGAACTTTTTTGTTCGCTTTGCTGCACTGAAGTTATTATAAGATCATCTAATTTCTTGTAAGGGATTGAATATGCACTAGAAATACAAAATTTAAGACTTAAATCAGACTTTGTACTGCTGTGTAACCAGCCCTGTTTGTTCTGCTCTGTCGATCCCCACACAGGTGTAGTTCAAAAGCCTGTGTGTTTTAGTTTGGTGCCTGATGCAGTTGCCTTGTTGCCCTGTTTGCAGTGGAAGGTGCGTCGGACACTGGCTTTCTCCATCCACGAGCTGGCAGTGATCCTGGGGGATCAGCTGACAGCTGCTGATCTGGTGCCAATTTTCAATGGGTTCCTGAAAGACTTGGATGAAGTGCGTATCGGCGTCCTCAAACATCTGTATGACTTCCTGAAGGTAGGGAAGTGCAATTAATTTCTTCATATACATTTTTTTCTGACTCCATTATATTAGGAGTCTTCTGATGAGCTCTGCATGTATCAGGATCTAATTGATGTTTAGTTTTGTACAAAGCTGCCATTTTGTGTGTGTCTCTATTCCTTTTTTAATGTGCCTCACTTCTCTTTTGTCTCGTAACCCAACAGAACATCAAAACTGAAAACCCTTTGTAAATGTGGTTGTAAATGCTGCTGGCTGTTGTAAAGGAATTAGTATTTTGGGCAGTCCAACTGGAAAGTTGGCCCAGTAGCAATTTATGTTTGGGACTGGGAGAGAAGAGAGCAGATCCTGGTGGGTAATACACACAAATCCTTAGTTTTTGGTGCCCAGAGATGATGCTTTGATGGGTGTCCTTGCCAAAGGAGTGACTTACTGTACTTTTTTGGATGTCAGTCTCGTGTGTCCAGGCACTCAGCTGATTGTGCACAGTTTTAGGAAGCATCTTGTCAATGATCACTTGCTTTCAAGAAGGAAAATGCACATAGGTGTGTACAGAGCAACACACCAGAGAACTGCAAGTATTGAGTTTTCCCAGTTTTACACTAGTCATGTTTCTCCTTTAGCTACTTCATGCAGACAAAAGGCGAGAGTATCTTTACCAGCTTCAGGAATTTGTGGTGACTGATAACAGCAGGAACTGGAGGTTTCGTTACGAGCTGGCAGAGTATGTAATCTTATTAACTTCTGGTTTTTAATCTGTATTACTAACTTGGAAATAGGCAATTACATTCAGAAGTTAGCACGTCTGTTTGGGAGCTAAAATTTAAACCATTCTTTAGTAGTGAACTCAGTTTAAAAGCCACTGGCTGTTAGGGTTGTTTTGGGGGAACTAGGAGTGTTTGAGTTTTTTGGGGTTTTTTTGTGGTTTTTTTTTTTGTGTGTGTGTGTGTGTGTGGTTTTTCGTGGTTGGTTTGTTTGTTTTGTTTTGTTCAAATTGTGTTGTAATCAAGTGTGATTGAAAGTTAAATGTCTGTGATTACACTAAAATGGAGATCTGGTTCACTGACAGCTAATGAAATATGACAATCTGATAGATACTATTCAATGAGGTCTCAGAATTTATTTAGTTCGAGGCTCCCTTGCAAAAATCCATGAAATGTATGGAAACAGTAATTTTTCTCGTATGTGAGAAAGAAAAAACAGTTCTTAAAAAGTAAGTTGGTTGATTTGGTACTTCTAAATGGCTGTATAATGAAGGTAGAACAACATCCCACAGTTCTTTCTCTACAAGCCCTGTTGATATTTGCAGCACCTTCGTAGGAAGTTTAGGACTCAAGTCTGACCTTCACGGTCGAGGTGTTGGTGTGTTTGGGCTGTTGAGGCCTCGCTGTCCCTCTGTAGTTTGGCACAACAAACAAGGACTTTCCACAGCAGTGCCCTGACCCCTAGTGGGGACCTGCTGCTGTTCTGTGCTGGCAGTGCTGTGGCTGCAGTGAGTCCTGTGAGCTTCTGAGGTACAAATTATTATCTGAAAGGCAGATTTCTACACTGGGGCAAATAGTCAGTTTTCACTTTGCAAGAACGTACAGGATATTGGTTTGAAGTTGCAAAAGAAACTTCTTGTTATTTGGGATAATTTTGATATATTGATACATGTAGTTTGGGTAACAGTTTCTCTTGGACTCCCTGATGGATTGAAGTGTGTGAAGAGAAGAACAAACTGCTCAGGGGCCCTGTAGTGACTGTGGTACCTTAGTGCTCCTTCCCCCCGTGGAACAGATGCTGAATGGGAGCAGGCTGGTGCTGCAGCTGGGAGAGTTAATGATTTCCTTTGTGTTCCAGGCAGCTGATCCTGATCCTGGAGCTCTACAACCCCAACGATGTCTATGACTACCTAAGACACATTGCACTGACTCTCTGCTCTGATAAAGTCTCAGAAGTTCGGTGGATCTCCTTCAAACTGGTAGGGGATTGAGTTCACTTCCTGGCAGGAGAGCAGGAAAATGATCCTGGAGAGGGGTATCTGCAATCACTGTTTTTTCAGACAAGTAGGGTGAATTGAGACATGTTTTAATGAATATGGTGAACAGTACAGAAAAGGGTGAAATTAAAAGTTTAAAAAATATTTTGAGTTGTCCCCCTGCCACAGATATTAAAATCTTCCTCTGTGGTTGTATGTGAATGATAAATCTTTTCACCTGAATGAAAGCCAGCATGGATAACATTTGGAAGAGCTTCCTCCAGTTCTGGGGGAAAAAAACACAACAAAACACAGAACAACCAACTACTGATCTTTCCTCAAAGTTGATTTAATTTGTTATGAAGTTCATGACAATGCCATCATCCCATAGATGTCCTGAAGAAGTAGAAATATTCCTTCAGTCTCTTCCTTTTCTTCGTGGCACCCTGTAAAGGGGCATTATTTTATTTCTGTTTTTAATTCTGGTGGTTTTTGGTTCAGGTGAACAAACAGCTTTTCTAAAGCTTGGGCTTTTTCCAGAATAAGCACAGGAATTTATTAAAACCTGCAAGCGCAGCTGACAGTGCTGTATTTGGTGTCCCCCTGTAGAATTCAAATGAAATTATGGGGGGTTTTTTAACTCTAAGGGCTGCAACTGAAGTCTCATCTCTTCTTTTTGTTCCTTTTCCCCCTGCTTTGCCCCCCAGGTTGTAGCAATCCTACAGAAGTTCTACACAAACAGTGCAAATGCACTGGGGTTAAATTTCATCAACGAACTTGTCGTGCGGTTCCGTCACAGCTCCAAGTGGGTTGGAAGACAAGCCTTTGCCTTCATTTGTCAGGTTGGAATGTTCTCTCTCTGTCTCTGTGTGTACTGTTTCATTTGGAGCTGGTTTGGGCTTTAGCAGCAACGTGGGGAAAAACTAGAATTTGGACTCCCAATGTGTTTTGTCATTTTTGGGCTCTGATTTTGTGGGTTGACACGGCTGGTCCAGCTAAAGCTGTGTCTTTGTCTGGGGCTGAGCCTCCAGCTGCAGTAGCTGAGCCTTGGACTTGTGGTATCCCAGTGGCAAAGTCAAGAATTAAGTCCCAAACTGAGATACATTTTTTTTTTTAATATTTGGCCATGCAAGGATAAAGGGTGACAAGAGCTCTTCAAATTAAAAATGGGTGCTACATGCCAGGAACTATTTCCCTCTTTATTGACATTTACCCACCCTCTCCAAACCAAAAATTCAGTAGCAATGAGGAGCAAGGGTTAAATGTTCAAAGGCAAAAGGGTGATGACAGCCAAGAGAGAAACATTTTCTAAAATATACTTGAAAGAAATTTGCTGTTGTTGGATCATCTTTGGCTGAACTTTGGAACAGTAAGACATGTTATCAGAACAGGAGTTCAAAGGCTGTGCTTATTTCACCAACACAGGGTAGGGTGTAATGGTTCAGAGCTTTTTTTAATAGGCAAAATTAAGGACAGGATGGAAAGAAATGGCACATAGTGTATTTTTAACACAAATCTTGCTTTCCTGTGCTGTGTCTGTCCCTAGGCTGTGGTGGAGGAGGAGTGTATGCCCGTGGACCAATTTGTGGAGCACTTACTGCCCAGTCTCCTGAGCCTTGCCTCAGATCCCGTGCCCAACGTCAGGGTCCTGCTTGCCAAGGCTCTCAGGCAGACACTACTGGAGAAAGGTGTGGTCATGAATTTCTTTGGAAAGGCCCAGCATCTCGGGAATGCTGCTTTTCCTCTGCTCACTTCGTTGCAAGGCTCTTAAACAGGATCATACCTTGTACTCTGGGATAGTGCGTTTAACTTTGGACTAGAGAGTGTAGATTTAGGAATTTTAGGAGTGGCTTTGCAGCCTTGGAATATGGGATGATTATCCCTAGAGGGCCTAGAAGTGGCTTTGTTAATCCAGCAGGACCCACTTGGGGGCACTGTGGCCTCGCCAGCAGCGGCCAAGACAGCTGCAGGGTTTGGGATCCATCGTGCTGCAGTTTCCTGTGTTACAATTCCTTAAAAATGACAGAAAAAAGGCAGCTGATCCCTGATTATTCAAAGGAAGATGCACAGAAATCTCCTATCTTTTTTGCAAAAGAAAGTATGGAGAAGGTTTTGGATTGCACTGTACAGTGGCAGGTTCCTGAGCCTGCTTTTGCTCAGAGACATTTCTGTTTAGGGCTCAGCAAAAAGAATTTATCTTAGAAGTATTTAAGTACCTTAGAAGATGAGTCAGAAGCAGCATATTTCTCCTTCTCTGTCAGCTTCCTTGGCTTCCTGTAGTTTCTGTAAGGAGACTATAAATTGGATAAGCTGCCCCAGATGTTTTGGCATCCTCTGGAGTTCTGCACTACCTATGCCCTAGGGTTTGTTCTTTTGGGTTTGATTAAAATTGTCTCTTTTCTTCCCTTATTCTAGCTTATTTTAAAAGTGTTGGCAATCCTCATCTAGAAGCTGCAGAAGAGACCATTCTGGCCCTGCAATCTGACAGAGATCAAGATGTGTCTTTCTTTGCCACCATAAAACTAAAACAGGGTAACATGGACAATATTACCATTGAAAAACAAAACTAACAAGTTGTTCTGCAGCAGGGGCTGAACAGCAGGACAGTTGTTCACTTTGTGGTCATGTTGGTGTGAGTAATGTGGGCAGATAAGGTGGGTTCTGTTACCTGTTTGAGCAGGAAACGTTCCTGTCTTCATTTCATGACCTCGTTTCCTCTGCCCCACTGTTTGATTCCCATGAGTAATCCCTTATGGTTTTCCCTCTGTAAATGTGGGTGATAACTCTGATCTCACCTGTAGTTCAGTATTATCTGTAAAGTCTTACACCACACTCAGTGTTTCAGTGTTAATTGGAATTCACATTTCATTTTTTAACAAAACATTTCCAGTAGCACAAGGCTGCTACAAGCTTAAAATGGTTTCTGAATCCTAAAACCTGATTATAACAAACTTTCCTGAAGCTCTTCTTTCTTCACTTATACTGTGGTTTTTGTATTGTTTCAGCTATTGCATTTATTTGAAAAAAGTGTATATATGTGAATAGTTTTGAATTGTAACAAAAATTAATGATCTGAATTCTGTATCAGTGGAAAAAGCTCATAAAACATTTCATTTTTTAAAGTAGTTACACTGCTAGAATTAGGGCATGGGTCATTTTTACTTAATATGATGTGATATTTTTCAAAGCACAGAGAGCTCAAGATTCTTTGTATATTGTGACATTTCCATTAATTTGTTACTTCTGAGCTACACTCTTACAGGTGTTAACAGTCATAACAACAGCCCTGTTATTTCTTGACCACCCTCACAGGTCAGTTGGTGTTACTGCTGACTCTCCTGGGGTAGGGAGACTGTAGATTTCCCAAGTGGAAAGTTCCTCATTCTGCCCCAGCAAAGGTCACTTGAGGGATTCAGTTCCTGCAACACAACCTGTGTCTGTACAGGGGTGTTACAGAAGGTGACAGGCTTCAGTTTGTTTGTTTTACTCACCTGGTTTAACAAATACCTTTCAGCCTGCCCAGTGTTTAAATCCCAAACAGCTTTTCCTGAGAAACAGAGGACCTCTAAATTCTGAAAACAGCCAGATCAGAAGTGTTCCAGGGAAAGGTGTGACACAGTTTGCTCTGTAACTTCTGTGGATTGTTTGGGAAGGTTTGGGGCAAACCCCAAATGAAGGTTACTGAAGGTAAGGTGAGGCAGGATGTCTTCTGTGTCCTGAGACAAGGGATTTGGAAGAAAGGAAAAATGCACAGGTGGAGCAGAGTTGTGTTGGGAAAATTGAGTAACTTCAGACAGTTGAAAAATGATAAAGCCAATACTTTTGCTGGGCCCTGTCTTCTCCTGGGTCCCAAATCTGCAATAATGTGCAGCCTGGGGGGAAAAAAAAAAGCCATTCTTATAGTGGGGATTGAAACTATCCTGTTCCAAAACTAATGCTTGAATACTAAAGAAATGGCTCCACGTGGTGACAGTTACTGGCTGAGGAGGGTCCTTTCTCCTGCACAGACCTGTGGAAGTGTCTCCCCTCAGAGTTCACGTGGGCAAGGTTGTTACAGCAGTGGCTGTTTTGGTTGGGTTTGAGTGGGGCTTGTCTGCAATACAAGTAGGTTTCTCAGCTGGGTTCTGTGTTTTGGGAGGGCTCAGTTTTGGGTAAGTTAACTGCTCATGTATTATATGATCTGTACAGTATTTGTAACAAGTGATTTCCTTGTGAGATCACAAACTGCTCTTTGGGAGCTGCAGGCAGAACTATACCACTGCTACTGCAGCAAACAGTGTAAACTCTGTAAACTCTTTAATGTTCTACATTCAATTTTTTACAGGTTTTTTTTATAATTTAAAACAAATACTTCTTCAGTACAGACTTTTTATGATTGCTATTTCTTAACAAAAAGACCCCTCAAGTTAATTTTTTCTAGTTCTAATATCTTTTTCTAATGCTGGCATTATACTGGTATTTTCTAACAGTTCAGATTTTCTAAGGCCTTTCTGACAAGGTTTGACTTCTGTTTTTTATTATCAGTTCATTAAATTTCTCAGCACTGAACAGATTTTTTTTTTTAAAGTGTGTGTATATGTAAGTATGTTTGAAATATACTGTATATAAATTAAATACCTTGAACATAACCCAAGCCAGGTTTCTGTTTGTCGGATCACCTTAAATAGTTTCCTTGACTTGCAATAATCCACTGGAAAACACAAGCTTCCATATGTTTTAGCATGTTTGGTTAGTGTTCACTGGGAGTTTTTAACTAGAATGCGTGTAAAGGGTAAGCCACCAGCCATAAAAGTTCACTAAAAGGCTAAACAAAGCTCCTTGTTTTTAACAATATTCTGGTACCTCTCTGGCTCCCAAATTCCTGTCAGTTTGGAACGATATGATTTCAGTGGAGTGTTTGAAAACCTTCTTTTACAACTTTACACTTGCATGTACTAACAGGGGCCATCACAGTTCTGGGGTGGGTTTTTTGTAGACTGTGTGGGTCTGTTAAACAGATTTACCCTCTACAAGTTTGTCTCTTTGGTTGAGTTTTAAACTAGAGGTGGTTTCAGCATGACTAAGGCTGCACTTTATGTCTTGTACAGGACAAATGTGTGCAATGGGTACAGGGGGGTGTTGATGGAGTTCTCTGGGCTCTTCAGTTATGCAAAGAGATGCGTTTGAAAAGCCAGATGGAGCAAAGGTAGAATTTCACAACAGCAGTAAGAATAGAGCTCTCCATTTCCAGCTAAGGAACGTGACAGTAACAGTGGTGGGTGCAATATTGCTTGGATGCTGTAGGAAATGGTCAGGCCCTTGTGATCCAAAGGATTCCAGCCCCGTGGTGTCGCTGGTCCCCCGTGTGACGTCCCCGCGGCATCGCTCGGCTGTGTCTGTGCACGGTGCTGTTCAGAACCCAGTTAAGTGGGGACACTCTGGAAGTGTCTCTTGTTTGTCAGAGTAAAGAATCTATGTAACTTTCTATTTGTATTTATCTCAATAAATCTGTGACTGTTTTATAAACCAACCTGTGGTAACCGGCTTTTGTCATGGGTGGGATGGGAGTGTATTCTGTGGGTTAATGAAACATCTCTCAGGTGTCTGACCAAGGCTGAATGTGGAATTTTTCATACTGAGCAGTAAAAAAAAAAATCCATTAGATATCCAGAGATGTGAATTAGCTCTCCCTGTACTTTTTCCTTGAAGTGAGTGTGCCAAAAGTGCTTCAACTTATCCTGATGGCTGGAAAATATTTGCATTATTTTAATTCAGCTGTCTGCCATTTTACATTTCACTTTCTCAACAAGATACTTAATCCAGGTGGTTTTGTATAGATAGGAGAAACAACACAAAGTATGCATAAAATCCTTTTTCTTGGTTGTCTTAAAATACCATTGGAAGGTTGAGGTTGTCTGTTCTTGGGTGTTCCTGTGAGGCCAAGGGACTTGTCTATGTTATGAGAATCAGAGGCAGAAACTGTTTCATATCCCTGTGTATTAAATGTTCTCCCTACCAGGTGTAAAGCAGGAAATGGAAGGATGTGCCCCAAGAACAAAGGGTTCTTTGAAACAAAAGGTGTGTTGGCATAAGAACCCCACAGAAAGATTGGTGACACTGGTTTGTTTTTTTTTTTTTCAAATAACTCCCCCTCTTTATTTTTGAGAAATAACCATTCAGCTTCCACTTACAGCTGAGAAAACCACTGTGGAAGATGCAGCCCAACATGGAAATGGTTTTGCAGGAGGAACAGCAGCATGAGCACCTGACAGTTGCTCCTAAGAGGCCTCTCAGCAACACTGCAGAACTGATGTTTGAGTTTATTACCAAAAAAAGCTCTTCCTGGGAAGGAATGTGATACAGGACTGTTTCCTCAGGTAGCCTGGGTTTTGGAGCTGTCTCTGGAATCGAGGCCCAAAGTCTTGGCTGCCTCCTGTGGAGTCTGGGCTCATGTGGCCAGTGCTGTGTGTCCTCTTACCCCAAAAGCTCAGGTCAGGCACTTAATAGCTGCAGGTGAAAGGAAAGGCCAAAATAATGTCCACTCCAAGGGGCGGCTAAGAGTAAATATTGTTACAGAGTAGAGAATCAAGATGGGGCAGAGTAACAGGAGACAAGCAGGGATGATGTAGCTGATCCAGGGGGATTTATGTAGTGTGCAAACACCCCTTGGTTGATACCTAAAAAGAATGGCACTAAAAGGTCTGTGTTTATTCTGCAGAGCCCACCTGGGAATTACTGAGGACTTCACGGGCACCACACAGAGTTCCTGGGAGCAGAGCAGAGCAAGGGACAGGTGGCACTCAGAGCTGCCCTGGAACTGGCTGTGGCCAACACAGAGCTCGTGTGGGAAGTGCCAAGTTTCTCCTGAGACGTGGTAATGCTCTTGGAACAATCCTCCTCTGGCACAGCAAACCCCCTTCTTGCTTCCCAGGCCGCAGAATTGCCCCCAAACGGCCTCGTGTATTTGGTGTTTGAGGTGGGGAGTGTGTTCAGCACAGCAGTGCTGAGGTGGGCTTGGAGACAGGAATAACAGATGATCTTTTACAATGAACCATTTATTGATGGGACTTCCCTGCCTGTGGGGATATATAACTTGTTAGCTCAGGGAATTTTTGAACAGAAAGAAAGAGAAGCTTGTTGTTGTACCTGTTCCATATTTATCAATAGACACCAGTGGTGCAGAACACTGACAATCCTTACATTCACTTCTTAAAGTGACCCAAATGGACATAAATTGTTAAATGCCAGAGCACTTACAGCTTGTAAAACCCAACAGACATCAGGAAACTGGTACTGATTGGGCTCTGACATGTTGTTTTCCTCTTGCTTAGGAAAGAGAATTGTAGTCAGCTTGCAATCTCCCTGACATTGTTCATAAAGGAAGCAGACAAAAAGTACCAATGAAACAGAAGGGCTGCAATTTAGTGAATTTATGCAAAACACAATCAGCATTCAAACTGGGAGTTACCAAGCAGATATGTATTGATAGAAAAGCCAAAATATTCTCTGTGCATAACTTGTGAAATGTTAAAACAGAATTTCAAGAGACTCCTGGAACTCCCATAACTATAGGCCAGAGAAGATGCAGCAGTGAATTCTACCACTGCCAAATTCCCAAGGAGTGCAGAGGCATTGATTTAATCCCTGACACCTCAGGCTGGACCAGCTCTGCTGGGACACAGGAGCTGGTATCAGTAAGGAAAAACAAACAGCTTTTTCAGGAGAGGGATTAGAAGGGAGGGTGATTGCTTATAAAAGATGGTTGCAAAGAATCTGTGCTGGGGAGAGGGAAGAGCAGTGAGGAGGGAGTAAAGGGCAGAGAAATGGGAGGAACTGCAGGTGGGAAACATTCTGAGGGTGGTCTGTCTAGAGCACAATCTCTGCAGCAGAACCCTCTGCCTTCATTTCTGGACTTTGCAGTGTTCCTGAGCTGTGACCACAGCATTCAAAGGCAGCCAGAATCCGGCAGGGAGCTGTGCCTGAGGATCCTGCTGACCAGGAACGTTTAGAGAGGAAGGTGGTTTGCAGAGGGGAGCCAAAAGCTATTAATTTTCTCCTGTGCTTCCAGCAGCCCGTTTGGGTTGGTTTGATGCCTAAGCCAGGCTGCAATTGAGGTCAGTGCTTTGGTTTCCCTTTAAGCTCCAGTTCTCTATGCACTGTTCTGTTTGCCCCATTTGCTTGACATGACTGTCTGCTCTGGGTTGATGGTGTTTTTCTAGAATTCCTGTGTGAACAGAAGCTAATAAAGGAACTGTCAACTCAGAAAGCCCCTCTTAAAATACAGTTCTACTGGCTTGGGGTAAGAAATGCACAGATCCCTTGGCCAAACCTCCTCCGTGGAATTTGTAATCCTATTGCAATTCCTTTGGTTTCCAGTAGCCAAACAACCCCTGGGGTCAAGCAGAAGTCAAGGTATAAAAATGGATGGCTCTGAGCCTCCTTACCTGTTAGCTGCCATGTGTTAGAGGGATGATGTGGACTGCAGCAGTTCTGTTCCCTCTCCTGGTGAGTGTTTGGGTGCATAATTCAAATGTATGCGTGTGTTTGAATTCCAGCTTTCATTGATTGAATTGGTCTATGATAATAAACAGTATAAATAAATCAGGTGGGAGTTAAAGCATTGGGGAGGGGAAAATTAAATTCAGTGCAGTGACCTCGAGCAGAATGTAATTTCAAAAGTGCCTTAAATATGCTGATGGCATAAAGTAAGGCTGAGGAAGTTGGAGGGGCAGGAGAGTCAGGGAGACAGGAATAAAACAAAATTATTTGGATTTATCAGGATTACAGGCAGATATGGTTTATGCAGTTAATTGTAGAGGAGTGTCAGTCACGAGGCCAGGGACCAAAAGTGATCGGAGAGCAGTGGGAATGAGGGCGGTGTGGAAACGGATCCGAGCATGTGCAGCACCAGGGGAAGGCTCTTCCTGGGAGCAATCCAAGCAAAGCAGGGAGGAGGATGGGGGGATACAGCCATGCCAGCAGGAATTACAGGGACAGTCAGGCCTTGTCTGTTGGTGTAAAACATGCAGGAATCCTCTCGGGCTGGTTTGATGAAGCAAAAACCTCCTGGCTGTTGCCGATGAAGAGAGGAGAATCCAGCTTTTGATGTTACAGGAAACATGATCTGTAACTGAGCTGCCTAATAGTTCATAGTTAGTTCATCACACTGACTTCAGACTAGAAAAATAGAAAAATGCTTTGTTTTGGACTAATGAGCACCCTGACAGCCACAGGAAAGCAAAGAAATTGGTGAATCCTTCCAGTTGGCTCATGTAGAGGTAGATCCTGTGGGTTTGAAAGTACTTGTTTTCTTCTGGTTTTCTTTCCTTCTTTTTAGTTGTTTTAATTTTTTAAATATTTGATTTGTCCCTTAAATTGTAACCTTTTTTTCAGTTGTGGCCAAGTAGCTTTTGAAACCCAGTCAAAGGCAGAAGAACTAAAAGGAGAGCTCTGTGCATGGAAGTCCATCCGTGTCCTTGCAGCTTCTGTTGTTCTGTCAGATACCATATTAACTGTCCTTGTTTAAAAGTGCTTTCTCTACCTTGGCCCATATCTCTAAGTGTCACTTTTATACATCTTTTCCTCAGAAGAAATTAGATATTTGAAAATATAATCTTCCTGTCTTACCTTTTAGCACCCCAATTTCATTTATGTCCAGAAAGATTCCCAAGAGTTGATAATTTCCAGTATCTTAACACCTAGGGCATAGCAATAACACACGGACTTCTCTTTTCCTTTGAGTCCTCCCTGCTTGATGCTGCATCACATGAAATCCATTATTGTTTGGAAGCCACAGCTTCAGTTTGCCATAGCTGAGTAAGACAGTGAGGAGCTACAGGGAAAACTGAACTGGGAAGGGCAGAAGCGAAAGCAAGTCACAAACAACTTAATTTCCTACCTAATCCTCGTGTCATATCGGAATTAAATCACAGGGACTGGTGAAAGAATCCTTGGGGAAGCAAGAGATGCACTCGGAATTTTCCCTTTTCTGAGTCTCTTCAGGGTTTTGTGGCCTCTCACTGATGTGCTGCCCAGCTGAGTGTCCCTGCCCAGGATTCTGGGAGCAGGCTGGATGTGCTCTGAAATGTTCTCTACCCCCACCAGACACGGATCTTCCTGTGGCTGCTTCTGTTGTTCCAACGGTGGTGACAGAAGGCTGACCTCCACGTTTCTGTTATCCCTCAGTTCTCCACAGCAAACACTCAGCAGTAGCTGGAATCTGCATCCTTGGAGTTCTGTTGTCAGTTTGGGCTGTTGTCACACACTTAGCTAATACCCTCCAGTAATTTTATTTCTTATTCACATGCACACTTAATGTCCTTCGTCATTAGACTGAAAAATGTTAACCTTGTCATAGTTAGTGACTGGAAGCAGAAAAGTCCTTTTCATTCTCAGGGGAATGAATTCTAATTTTCTGCTTGTCAGAAAGTGACATTTTACATATTTTTCTCTTTTTTTCCCCACCAGTTTAGTGCTAAATTTAAATGTGTGTGTCATAGGAACAGACCTTTAGTCTGTGCTAAACACCCCAAAAGCCTTGGCAGGTGTCCAGTGCATGAGAGCCTTGACCAAGAGCTGCTGCTAAAGCTCATTTGATGCACTGCAGAGAAGGGGAGGTGAGGCTGGGAAGTTGGAGATAAGGGGTTATCTCAGAGGGCACATTAACATTGCATGTCAGGATGCATTTTTTTTTTCCCCTAGAAAATATGGATGGATGAAAAGCAGCTCATCTGGAATAAAATGTCCAGTGAAGAAACAAATTATGTTAATCAAGCAGACTAGTATTAATATTTGTCATAAAGATGTGACACCTTCTATTTAATGTCACAAACTACTGGGAGCCTTTGAAAAATGTACTGGTGGGAAGGAAAGTTCTCTGCAGATACTGAGTTCACTGTTCTATGAAAGGGAATAACTTGTCTTGAAAATTAGATGGCATTTATGGCAAAGAGAAGTAATCCTCCCACAGATTACAGCTGTTCACTGCATTGTTGTGCTGGTGGTCTTATCTCATCAGTGGATATTTTATAAGGATCTTTCCTTTTTTTCTTTTTTTTTGATACATTTCCATAAGCCTGTTCTGAGGAGGACATTGTGTGCTGGGAGCTGGGTGTATTTTGAGAAAGGGACACCACTACAAAGAACTCTTGAGTCTAAATTGCAAAGAGGGGTGAAGTAAAAATGAGGGATGGTTATTTTGCTTTTTACAGATGGGAGCTGAAGCAGAGGAGGTGACTGTTGTGGCCAAAGTCACCCTGGGAGTCCGTGGAATTGCATCCTGATCTTTGAAGTACAGTTCCAGTATTTTACCAGATATTGTCTCTCTGTTCCCTTGCTGATGAATGTGGACTTAATATGCACATGTGTGATGAGCCAAACATGTTCTGCATGTGTTGAGCCAAATTCTGACCTGAGGCCATGAGGGGAGGGCTCCCTGGGCTGGCCAGGAGCGTTTGCAGGGCTGGGCTCAGCCCAAGGACTGCACAGTGCTGGCATTTCTAAAGCCCCTCCTGGGCTGAACTTTGCCCCCCTTGCCTGTTTGGTGTTTGAGCCAACTCGGGGTTCTTGGGAATTCTGGAGAAGTGCTGGCAGGGTGCTGGGTGAGGCACTGCCTGGCTCCTTGTCCGACCTCTTGCACTGCCTGCACACCAGATGCTGATTAATGATTAGCATGTAACTAATTAATAAATCAATGCCACAAACAAATAAACCATCCATTACAGTGGCTTCCCAAGTCTCTCCCTTCTGGGAGAGAAGGGAGACTTGCAGGCATTCCCCCCTTCTCTGTACAGAGGTGCCTCTGGACTGTGCCGTCTGGACACCTGGCAGATCTGCTGTGTGGATGGGATTCATTGTATTCCACAGGTAATTCAGTATGTGCTGGGGAACAAATGGACGTTTTTGGTTTAGTTTTGTTCTATGCAGGGGTGGGTGAGTGGTCAGCACAGTCAGTGTGGGCTCAGGAGGAACAAGTCCAGTGTTGTGTGTTCCTGTAAGGCCCTGGCATCTGGCCCTGAAGGGCTTCATCCACACTGACTGATTTCTGACAACAGCCTTTGAAGTCTAGAGATAAGATCTGATTGCCCAGGCTCCCTCTGTAGCTTTGTGGAGAAAGCAAGGATCCTGTGGGGTATCATTTAAAGGTCTGAATTTGGACTCCAGTCCTGAATCATGATCAGAGCTTAAAATTAATCCACATGGCACATCAGACATCACTGACCTGAGCCTGTCTGAGCCAAAATCAAGCACCAAATTGAGCTACTGTGTTGTCATCATCAGGCTGTCAGAAACACAGAAACTTCTGTGCCTCTGGCCTTATTTTTCAAAAATAAAAACCATTTGAAGGTGTTGTGATGTGTTATGTAATAGAGCTAATTAATGCCCTTGTAACAACTAACCAGAGCATTCAGACAGAATTCAGAGGTGGTTTCTGAATCTGTTCAAACACCTCCAAATCCAGAATGAGACAAGGGAGGAAATAAATTCCTGATGGGCATGAATGATTTTTCCATTCTTCTTACACAGAAACTGTGTATGTACTTCTGTGCAGTTCTTGGGGCATGATTTATATATTGCAATAAATAACAAGTGAATGTGTGCATAATTTAAAGGGACAATAAAGGAAAGCAGATGATTTAATTGAATTGTGTATAATAAAGCTGTAATTTTTCAGGGAAGGCTGAGGTCAACCAGGTGACCAAACTGACCTATTGGAACCCGAGGGACAGGACAAGCTCTGCAGTCTGGCTGTCACTGCCCTGATGGGGACTGGTCAGTAGGCAAAGGCTTACATGGCAGTGCTGTGTATTTATCTACTTCTCCTCTCCACATAGAAGTTGTGTAAATGATCATTATAGAGCCCTTCTCCAAAACAGATCTGCCTCACTGGGTTTGGAGATGCTTTTACACATCCCTGACCATTATCTGCCTGTGCATTACTGGGCTCCAGGACAGCTCCAGCACCAGTGCCAAACACACGTGAAATGAATGAAAAACATATTCCAAATAATGGCAGTACTTATGTGATTTGGTGTCTTCTGTGTTCCACAAAGCCTCAGGAGCTGATGGGCACACAGCAGTGCGGGGTCTGGCTGCCCAGCAGAACCAGCCTGGTACTGCTGACAGGTAATGATAGAGTGACTCCAACAGCGTGAATGGAAGGTGAATTAAAAGCAGATTAAGTGCAAAATATACTTCCTATATGCATGCAGGGCACTTTAATTGTGATTTATTGAGTATGAAGAAGATTGTTCCCTCTCAAGTTAGACAGTGCTGGCCCAAGGTGAAGGAGTTAGTCTCAAGCTGTCCATTGCTAGTGCCTATCCCAGTGAAATGCTGATTTTTCTCAGCACTCTTACTGAAAAAAAAAAAACTAGAAGGGCAAACAAACACGGTGAAAGACCTGTTTTGGTCAGACCTGTGGTGAGAGCTGGTGAAAGTTTTCTCATTCGCACATAAATAACTCAAATTATTGTGGATTATTATGGATTCTCTCGGAGAACAAAATAATAAACACTGTCCCTCCATGCTCCCTCACCAGCCTGTCAGTTGTATCTTGGCTTCTCCTGAGAGACTGTAAATATGTGGGGTTTGTTCATTAGCAGTATAATGTTAAGATGGAAGCTGTAATGCACGTGATGGGAGCACAAGAAATTACTTCAGCTTTCATTGAAACAAAGGACATGACTGTGCTCTGGCAATAGGAGCATAATGGCTGTTTAATTTTTCCAGACAGGGACTGGAGCTCACTGGGGTTTTTTTGGGCTCTTGTTTTGTTTTTGTTTTTGCTCCAGCTTTTAAGGATGAGAATGTTGTGTCTGACGCGTGTCAGCAAGCAAAGGAGATTCACTAGCAGAGCTGGGTCCGTCTTGCTCCCCGGTGAGGAATAAAAGCATGAACCGTCTCTCACTTCGGGAGGAGAAGGGGGGGCTGTTTCCAGGCTGCGGGAAGTGCGAAGGCATTGTCAGGTTTGGGTCAGGCGGAGCCGGGGCTGTGCTGAGCTCTCAGCAGGACCCATCAGCCGGGTGTCACTCGGCAGCCTGGAGGCATCTCCGGGAAAAGCCAAGACAGAAGTGTGGGGGGCGAAGCTGCCGTGTCTTGTGGTGGTGCAAGACTGTTCTCTGTAACAATGATCTTTGTGGAAAGCAGGCACAAAAATGGATAAAAGAATAAAGAGCCTTTATCAAGGAAGCAGAGAGAGAAAATGGCCACTTCTACACTCCCCACAGTTAGATGCTAAATAATGCTGTTATCAGAGCTGTTGTGCCCACATTTAATCCCAGCCTGGTACCTGCAAGGCCTGATCCTGCCCTCAGCTGCATCCAGGGAATCTGGTGTCAGTGGGGCCGCTGCACTGAAAAGGATGGGTAGGGAATGAAGAACTCTGTTCTGTTTATTTCTTCACGGTTGCATCTGGTTTTGTGCTTTGAAGTTCTCAGATTTATTTCAATCTTCAGGTTTATTTTCACTTCTTTAGGGAAGCAGATAAAGCAGGGAGGGGGAAATATGAGGGACGGGGCCAAATTCAAAGTGGAGTCACTTGGGCAACATAAAAAACCTGCAACCCCAAGGTGTAATTTCCATTGGTAAAACCATGTTGAACCTACTAATTGCTTCAAAATTACAGCCAGATTTCAACTTTGTAACTGCAGAGTGCAGCTCACCTAAACCAGGACAAGGGTATCACATGAGGGAGCTTGGAAGAGAACCTCGTGGGCTGCCTCACAGGAAAAATGGTAAAACTGCATTTCCCTTATTGTCAGGCATTTCCTGGACTCTGGATTTATTGATTTAATCCCTTCTCTCCGTTCTGAAACAATCGAATATATACAAATTTAGAAGTCCCTAAAACAGTAGCTTGCCTCCACATTGCAATGGACATTGAACAGCAATAGATTTAAGGTCCTTTGGCAATGTCGGGTGGGTGAACTCAGTTTTTGCCTGCGTTTGATTGAAAATTTGGATAGTTGTTTTCCCAACGTTCCTGATTTTGTTTTACATTTAGCTCTCAGTACTTTAGTCCTTGCTGTGTATGACAGAGCAGACTGAGGGCGATGTTTTGTTCACTGGCAACCCGACCAGTTTCAGAGCACAACAGTATCATTTTCCAGCACAGTTAAATTTATTACAGCGTGGTCCTGTGAAATGGTCTGACGTGCTTTCAACTATCCAAATAACAATTTGCTGGGATGTGGAAACCACAGGAGTCAGGAAGAAGGTAGTAGTCTGTGAGTGGGTCTTGTCTGTCTTGCTACAGGGACATGGTTTCCTGGGGAAGAAAACACAACACGTTTAGGACCCAGTGCAAGAAGTGCCCTGGGCTGGGATTCACTTGGGGCAGCATTTCTGGTCAGGTTGTCACTGACCCTGTTAGATTAATGTTTGTCACTTTGGTACTTTGTAGAATGTGGAAGAAACCACAATGAATCCTTCACTAAAGGGGGAAATAACGTGTATGGATGGGGAGCCTCAGGTCTCTGGAAAGGGTTTTTTAAATCCTCTGTTTTGTAAGGCAAACAGTCTCAGAACTGGAGTTACTTCAGGCTGACAGAGCAGCCAGTAGCAGGAACTGGAGACAGGAATTTGGGCTCGGAGTTAGGAGTGCAATGGGGATCATTAGGACAGTCACAGCATGTATCTGGAGAAATGTAGAAATGTCTCGCAGAACAGTGATTATTCTCCAAGCACTCACCTTGTGCAGACACTGCATCACTTGCCTGTGCACATCCTGTGGTTGCTTTTCATTTGGGTTCTTTCAAAATGTACAGCAACACTGCATTCTGAGTGCTACTTATTCAGAATCACCATTTCAACTATCATCTAATCAAAAATCTTTATTCTCTGATGCAAAATGCATTTTAAACAAATAACAATCTTTCAACTCTGAGTTCCTGGTAAAATATCTTATATTAATGAATTTATAAATAGCAAGTGCCAGTTCTATGCCAATTCTAACAGCACAGAAAAGAACACACTGTGAAGGAAAACATACCAGGTTTTTGTTACCCAATTTTGTTGTTTGTAATATAAATGCTTGTGAGAAAGATAATTCTGATTTCATAGTTCTTTAGCTTAAATATGTTGTCATTTAAGCCTCTACTCTTATTCCAGCAGGAAGCCAGGAAAGCATCTGCAGGCACACAGCCATGGGGGCAGGAGCTGTGCCGGACCTGTTTCCATGCCTTGCTGTGGTGACTGGGATCAAATCCAGTCACATTTTTGTGTGTGCAGTTCTGAAAGCAGCATCCAGAGTAAAAGGAGTCTGTTGTCAAAGAACCAGTTCACCTGAAAACAACACTCCAAAGCCGAGCTGGCTTCGGCTCCCTGACAGAGTTCAGTCAGCTAAGGAGGAGTTGCTGTGCAGCCCCTGTGCTCACCCAGAGCTGCCCAAGAGACGACACCAAATGCAAGTTGGGTTGAAGCACAAGGAGACATCTGAATATACTGGCACCTTCTTTGCACGTTTTGGTTCTGGATCTATGATTTTTATACAGAATTAAAATTTTCTTGACTTTTGCTGCGTTTCTGAAGTTGTTTCATTTCGTTTTGAAGCATTTGCTGGTGTGTGCGCTGAGTTTACTAACACTGTCCTGACCCTGGAGATGGTGTGATATTTTATGGTGTGCAGTGACATTTATGTGCCCAACTCGGCTCCCATAAACAGGTTAATTTCCACAAATTAAAGGCCAGGTTTGAAACATTACAAGGTGAGGTAACAATTCTGTATTGGCCTTTAGGATTCTCAGTGGGGCTGATGACTGGGCAGTCCTTTGTCAGCTGCAAATCTACAACTTCTACACAATTTTTTCAGGTATAATGGTAAAACTGAAAGTGCTGAGAAAAGAAATATTGAGGTTTATAGTTTCACATAACATCAAAACATTGAATACATGGAGCACTTACCAACTGACATATTTATGCTACAGGAATGAGTTCCAGTTTTAGACAATACTCCTTGTACATCCCAAATTAGGCTGTATCAAAGTATGTCCTGAAGTAAAGGTACCTTAAAATGGCAGAATGTATAATAAAAACCCCCTTATTAGTACAGAGTTAATATTCAGAAATCTCCAACTGTAGATGCTGGACAAAGAATTTATTTTGGTTTTCAAAATCTAACCACGGTTCATTTGGATTTCACTTCATACAAACATCTACTGGATATCAGGTGCCAGCTTTGGTTATTTAACCAGTAGTCTTGAAGTTCCCCTTTCATTTGGCCTGAATTAATGTAATTTTGTTGTTACTAAATTACATACCAATCATTATTATACTGTTTATATAAATCAGACAATAAGAGGATCTTAGGACCTTAAAATAAACTGAAGAACCACATGATTAAAATAAGCAAGAGATACAAACCTGGCAATGACAAGAAAGCACACTGATCTAAAATACTGTTCTTACAATGATCTTGGCTGTTCAAAGAACAGTTTAAACAGGTTCTAGTTAGTAGCTAAACTGCAATTTAGCTTAAATTTCCAGAGTCTGATTCCAAGTTATTCTTTATTCTGGTTTTTAAGTAATGTGTCTGAAGTTACTCCTGCTATGTGTTCTCATTCTTGGGTAATCCTTCCAAAGGATATGAGTCACTTCTCCATTATTTGTAAAGAATATGGAAAAAGTAAAATATTATTATTTTGTGGGCATTTGGAACTGGATTAAAAAAAAAAAAAAGGTGGGATGTTGATCATTGTGAGTCATTTCTTGGGAAGAAGGGAAGAACAAACACTGGCTGCTGACTTACTGCTATGAAAGCCAAGCACTTAGTGCTGACTCAAGAGGTAGCTATTGATGGCTGGAGAACACAATGGAGATCCTGCAGCAGGATTAAAAAGCAAAATCTTTCCTCTTTAAGCAATAAGGAGTTAGAAGGAGCTGCCTGTGTTGACTTCTTGGAGGCTCCTTTTTGTTTAAGCAACCTTCTGGTTTAAACATGTTGGCCAATTAGAATTACATCCTGCTGCAATGGAGTCTCCTTCAGGTTTCCAAAAATCCTGGCAAACCTGCAGGGAACGAAGTGCAAGACTGATCTCCACAGCACGGGGGAGCTACACCAGTAACTCCCAGTGCAATCCTCTGCTGTTCCTGAGTATTGACCTGTCCTGGCTGGGACAAATATTGGTACACACAAAACTGAAGTGACATAAATGCCTTGTAACCCATTTGCATTCTGATCAACTAATTGAAAAAAACCCTGTTTTGATACCAAACCTGATTTTTCAAAGTGACTTCGTGTCACTGTGGCCCTTGCATACTTTATTTGTGTACTGGGAACTACTCAATTACTTATGTGTGTAACTACACAGAATACCTGCAAAGAGCACACAATACAAACCCCAATGTATTTTATAATTATGACTTAACTACACTTATGGTTTGTGTGCTTTTTTCAAGCTCCAGTGGACACACTGTGATGAAGCCTAATAATTGGTTTTTTCTGCAGGTGTTTTTTGTTTGTTTGCTGTGTTTTGTTTTTTAATGAGGGAAGCTTCTTTCCAAATGCAAGGATGCAGTCCCATGGCAGCCTGAGCCGACTGAAGTCATGCCTGACACCCTCCTCTGCATCTTCTCATCCTCTCTGTACAGAAGAGATGGTTTTGTGCCAGCACAGGCACCTGAGAACTCAACAGTGGGCCAGGTCAGTGCTCATGGAAAATTAATTCTAAACACAGATTCCAGCAGTGGCAAGTGATGAATTGGGAATGAGCAGTACAGTTGGATTGTCAGGAACACAGCAGTCTGTATTTATATTTGAAGAATGCTGTGAAACTGAGTAGGAGTAGAGGATCTCATGGAGAAACAATTATAAAAATTTGCTCTGTCATTCCAACTTCCAATAAGTATTTTTAAATTATAGTCTTATTAATGCAAATAAAAATAGTACCTGCTTTGTGATCTTTATCTGAGTGTATTCATTGTTATTTTGAAGTAAACCTGAAGCCGAGTTAACACCTTGGATGCCACAGGTTTCAAATAATCACTAACAAGCAAAATGCTCCATGAAAATACATTTACCAAAATGATTGTGGATGTTTACATAAATCACGTGTAAAGCATAAATATTCCACAGTCCACCAGTCCACTGTGGGATGTGTAGCCAGGACTGCCAATGGATCTGTGTGCCTAATCCTTGGTTGCTGTCAGTGAGGCCGCGGGTCAGTTCAGGCTCCTGCAGAGGGCTCCTTTGCAGCTCCGGATCTGGTGATCGATCTCCAGCTCCAGCCCGGGCACAGCTGATCTCCAGCCAATGAAGCCCTGCGTAGTTTTAGGCACTGGAGGAGATGGGAGCACCTAAAATAAAAGGACCATGTAAAACTGAATGATGGAAGGGTTTGTGAGGGTAACTGCTGTCATGAGACATCATCTTTTGTGCTGTGGTGTGGATGGAAATGAGAAGGTATAAAAAATAGTGGTTCCAAATGTAATTTGCTGAGTTAATATCTTGAAAACATTGACATTAATGGAAGGAAACAAGAATTTTGAAAGACAGCCCAGGTGCATGCAAGTTTGATTTATAACACATGATAGTTTATAATTTAATTAGAATAATTTACGTGCCATTCTACAGCAAGACACAGGGAAAGAGAGAACTACAAGGGCCAAATTCCAACAAAGCAACTAACTTTCATTTACCACCTTCTAAAACCAAAAAGCAAATTATTGTTTAGTAGTGTATGTTAGCATTCTTTTTTTTTTTAAAGTTTGGTACAATCCTAAGGGCCCTAGTGGTTTTATATTCTTAGGAGAAGAATTTTGTCTTTGTCTTTAGCTTTTTCCCATACAGAATAATCATCATCATTATCATCATCATCTTTAAAACTAATTAACTTCTCTAAACAGGAGAAATGGTGTTTTCTAGTTGCTGTTATATATTTGGTAGCAATGTAGGCACGGAATAATAACTTTATGTCCAAATGCTAAAGATGTTTCTGACCAAGCTGGCTTTTGCATCAAGAACTACTTACTCATTCCACCTTCTTTCTACTTGAAAAGATGGGTAAGCAGCAAGTTAATCTGCAACTAATCTAGCTAAGGAGGAAACCAAACAAAAGCCAGCAGTGTCTGTTCAGTGACTGCTGTGCTTACTTTGGCTGAATCATCTCTGTTGGGCACGTTCTATCATTTTAGCATCTGGGGACTCAGTAGAGCAATACACAGCAAGAGAACAATGTTTCAGTTCTCTTGCCAGAGTTGCTTCACTTTGTTCTTTGGCCAAGATTAGAAAACGTTTATGATATTTAGGTGGAGCAGTTCCTCAAAAAAGATAATTTTTTATGGCCAAAAGTGCCACCCACCGAGCAGGATAATGAAGGGAATCATGTCCCACTTTCGATCTGGGGGAAGGGACTATGGAAAAGCTTTTACTAATCTGACCTAGAGAGGAGAAGAGGGATGACTATAACCACGAAGGTAAATGTGCAGAAAGACACATAGTTCTGGAAAAGGAGGTGAGAAACTTCACTCTGAACATGTAAAGAGTGACCCAAACACAGCTAACCCTGATCTTCCTCCAAATGCCGAGGTGAATGAAGCTCTGATCCCTGTTTCAGTGTGCCCCAGGCTCTGCCCGGTGCTTGAGCAGCTCAGCTGGGTGACTGTGAACACCCCAACCCCTCACTGCTGAAACGGGACTGAAACTGTAATTCACTAAAATTCGTGTTTGAGAGTCTACAAACTGAACAATAAGTAGCACTGATGGCAGAAATGATGCCATTTCATTGCTTTGCCACACTCAGCACTAGCACTTAATTTTTGTTTCAGTTTAATCTCAGTAAAAGCTTTTACAACTTCCTTGCTTTATCTTCCCACCCTTGGAATCCTTTGAAAGAAAGCTGGTTCAGCAAGTAAGAATTTCCAGTCTCCTTTGTTTCCTTAATCTTCTCTAAGTGGACTAACCTTTTTTGTTAGCACCTCCTTACCCTTCTATGAATATATTCCTCTCCCAATGTCACTGCTTTAGCTGCCTGTATAGTTACCCTATTCATTGGTGATTCTCACACAGTATATTTAGAAATTAAACCTTCACATTCTACTGTCCTTTCCAGCTGTTTGATAACGTTGACACCGAACATATAAATCATATAATATAAAATCAAATAACTATTACTTTGCTCGTTAGAACTGGCTTCCTATTAATTTGTGCCACTAAAGAGGACAGTGGCATTGTCTATGCCAACAAGAAGACTCTCTTAAATACAGGTAGAAAAATTACAACCGTATCCAAAGGGCAATTCCTTGTCTTAAACAAATGCTTTTAAAGCATTGCTCGGGTTGCAAATGCAGTTTACTCTGACCTTTAGTTAAAGACCCACCTCTACAAGACAACTGGGTATCAGAGCTTGTGTGATTTCTTACAAGAGATATTGTTGTATTACAATTTAAAATGTAATTTTCTAACCTTAATGTATTTTTCCACAGGTGTCACAGGGCGAATCCGCATGTGTTCTGGAAGCTCTATCTTGGGCTTTGCATCTTTTTTTTCATCTCCTATCAACTAAAACCAAAACATAATTAAAATTTGGACTCTATGTAATTTGAAATTTACTGTTCTTTGTGTTATCCACACCATTCCCCTCGTTGCAGCTGAACTTCCTGTTCTTTCCATCTCAAGCTCTTATTTCAGTGCTTTGGAAATTACTGGATTTTTTTTTGTTTCAGAAGGTGATGTAATTCTGAATTTCAGGTGGAAGGCTAAATATTGCTGCTACATCATGGGTCCAAAAAGAGCTAGAAATACATCTTATATATGTATATATGTCTTATATGACTACAAAGCAAAGATTAATAGATGCTAAATACACATATTCACCAGTAGCAACTGTGCAAAGCTGGTCTGTGTCACAGACCACAGTCACCCAGGATGGATAATGAAACCATGAGGACCAGGTTTCAAAGGTGCTAATTTGGATGCCTACAGGGATTTTCTAAAACTCCTAGAGCAGATTACTTCTACACTTATAACCATGCAGGGGCTGCATCAATCCTGTCCTTTAGTAATGAAGTACTGTGATTCCAAATGGAACATTATGTGCTACTATATTCTAATAACATCGCTGAGAAGAGACATCGCTCCAAATATTTTCGTTTGTTGTAAATTCCCCCACTGACAATTTAATTAGCTGGAACCTTTTCCCCTAGATTTTTAAACTACCATATGGATAGACAAAGGGGAAATATTTTCCTGTCAGTGTGCATCTAGTACTTGTTAACACTACTAGGAGTCATGTTTCTCAAGAGAAATATATCAGAATATGCACAGCATATAAATTACCACTTGCTGTTATTTTATTCAGAGGAAAACTGAGTATTTGAACCCAGTACAGTTGTTACCTCGGATCCCAGCTTAGCAAAGCACACTCAGTACATTTCTAGTCTTCAGAGCTCTCCTAATTCTGTGTCCAGATAAATCTGTGTGCAGTTATTCCCGTGTTGCTTACATGCCATTCAATTTTACCTCCTCAAGAGGTGTTTTCAAGAACCCCCATTTGTCAGACCATCTTTTTGCAGCATCTCCTTCCTTTTCGACGCATTTTTTCCTGAAACCAACCAAGAAATATTAAAGATTACTTTGAAAACTCTCATTGAAAACCAAAAACCCAATGCACGAAGCCAACTACTAATGCTACAAAGCACAGCGGTTTAGCAGGAATCTTTAGATATTTATCTTGAAAATAACTTTTACCTCATTACCTTAACTTATAACACCAAGTTTATGTGCGAGTTACCATCGCCTGACTCAGAGGTAACAGGAAAACATTTTCCATAGGTTTGAAACAGCGCCTGTGAACGCAGTGTGTGAGGAAGTGGAGGAGGATGAAAAATAAGCTGCAATGTTCTTTCATTTACTGTGGACTGATTGGATGCCCCACACGCGGCGGGGGATGGAAGCTCTTAAAACCTCGATTTTTTTACCAAGGCGCGCTTGTGAAAGCGGGCACAGTCTTTAAACACACGTGAAGCGAACTCATGAACAACCCCATCAGCCCGCGCCTCAGCGGAGCCGCGGGGAGGGCAAGGCGGCGGCGGGAGGAGGGGGTGGAGGGGAGCAGCGGCGGCTGCCAGGGCCGGGCTGGGGCCGTTACCAGTAGTTGTCCCGCGCTATGAAGTTCCCGGGCTCCATGGCCCCGGCGGGGCCCCGCTCGGGCCGCTCGGGGGCTGAGGGGCAGCGGCGGCGGCGGGGGCGGTGCCCGTGTGGGCGGTCACAACATGGCGGGAGGGGCGGGCGCTGCCGGGGGCGGCCACAAAATGGCGGGGAGCGCGCGAGCGCTCCGTGAGGGTGGAGTGCCTCTGGCGTTGCTCCTTTGTCCTTCGGCCGCTCCCCTGTGACAACACGGCCGTATCTCAGGGGAAAAAGTATCAGTTCCCCACGCCGTGTTTTGTTGAGGCACCTCAGGGAAGCGCGCTTGGTGTTTTCGGTAATTTTTTTTTTTTTGCGCGTCTTTTTTGGGGAGGAGGCGTCTTTTTTTTGTGCGCCTTTTTTTTTTTTTTTTGATGCGCCTTTTTTTTTTTTTTTTTTTTTTTTTTTAAACGTTAGTAGGAAAACACGTTTGGGTTAAGCTGGTGAAAAGCTGGTACCTCGGTTGAGGAGCCAGCCGTGTGTCAAAGGAAGATGTGTTGTCTGAGCCCTTAGTTTAGGGATTAGCCGGGCTCCCCTCCGCAGAGGAGAACTGAACACTGAGCTGAGAGTCTCTTTTAAACCTGGACAAAGGGAGTTGTCCAACAGCCAAAAGCTTGAAGTTTTTGAATCCTTTGAAGTGGACATGAGGAATAGTTGAAGGACGCTGGTTTTTATTTTGTTAAGCAGCTTGTCAACATGCCCAATGCTCAGAGCGTATTGTGCTATGATGGGTGTTTGCTCCTGCTCCCCAGTTTTTTATTCCTGGTTCCTCTTGATACACACCAACACTATCTTTTGGTAATTGCAGTGGGACACAACATCAATCCTGTGACATACAGTGTCTTTTTGATCTCTTTTTCCGGTAAATGTTCTTTGTGAGCTACATGCCTCCAATAGAAGTTCTGAGAAAGACCTCAACACACTTTATGGGTTCTATGTGACAATCCAAAAAAATATTTACAGCTTGTAAAGAGTCCACTGTGTTCCAATACATTAATATTTTTGGCTCTCCATCAATTTTTTGGTAATCTTAATTTCTTGCAGTTCTTTATAAACCATTTCAACAATGAGTGCAGCCAACTGGCTCTTTGCCCTTGTGGATTTAAATAGTTCCCTGACCTCTTTCTTTCTGTCTGGAGATTGACTTGTGCAAACACATTGTAAATAGTTAATGGGGCTCTCTAACACCATGGGCAGTTATTATCCTTATTACAAAATAAATTCAGAAAGGTTTGGACTTAAGATGAGTGGTTTATAGGCAGTGTGTTTGAATGCTTAATTACTAGCCTTTTTTTTCATAGAGTGAAGGATCTAAAGGCCTTAAATACTTAGGTATGAGAAGACTATATACATTTATTAGTCATTACTCTATTTGAGTAAGAGGAGAATAAAAACTCCTTCAGTAGTCCTAAAATAGCAATTAATACTGCTCTTCTGGGTCTCTAAAATCATTAAAGTATCAACAAATGGAGTATTTCACTTACATGCCATTTCATGATTCTCTAATTGATAATTAGACTAGCAATTAAATCATCTGAGTCTCGTATCACACCCATAAATGCTTACTCATTGTCCTACTTAATTAACTCCTGCTGCTTAGTCACATTTATCTCAGGAGCCCTCTTATTGCACTGATGCTTTCTGTGAAAAAAGTAATTTGTTAATGAAACAATCACATTTGTAGCTTACTGTGTCAGGGCTTAAACTGCAGTAGCATTTGTCAAGAAAGATGAAACTTCCTGCTCAAACACTGTGAAAATAGAACTTTAGAATGTTCAAGCTTTTCTCTTTTCTGTACTTAATTATTTCTCAGATGAGAGATTGTAGTAAATGAGTAGTTTTAGATCCTAAGTTCTTATGAGCAGAGGGCAATATTAGAACTGCACTTGCACTATGAGAAAAAAAGTGAAATAGGATTTTAATGAGCTAATAACGATACTGAATGACAGGAATACGGGTCCCTTGAGATTCCAAAATCATTTGCTGGAAGTCTGGATCTTGTAGCTACAAACAGCAGCATTTGTCATCACCTGACAAATGTTGAAGAAGATACTCCATCACTTAATGTATCATGTTTAAATAGAATAAAGTCTCAATACTTGGTGCTTCAGATTGATGACCCCTTCCAACTCAGAATATTCTGTGATTCATGAATCCTAGATCTTCTAAGATGGGTAAATTCTAATCTGGATGTTGCCATAAATGCTGAAATTCTAATGTTTCCAGTTAGGAATAGCCAATTATTCAGCTGCTCTTCTTTCAGATCTTACGACTGTTCTTCCAGAATTTACAACCTGTCTATAACTTGAGAGCAGTGGCAAACAATGTGCATTAACCCAAATGCAGTTTTCTGTTCAGCTGTACAAATGCTTCCAGCAGCACATAATGAGGCAGTGCACGAGGCTCCCGATTTTTCCAAAGCTTCAGGATGTTGTGTTGACACAAATACAGGTGGTACTGCTCTGTGAAATAGGTCAGGGGACCAAACTGACTTAAACAGACTGTGCAGAAAGAGAAAGTCAGCTCAGTGTTTTAATGTCTTTCACAGAACAGCTCCACGAGCAGTTGTGCTTCTGCAATCAAGGCAGCAGACAGAACGGAGACAGGAAAAGGTGATGCCTGAGCTGAAGTGAACAACTCAGGGTAGGTGGAGATCTTAAACCTCTCCTGCTGCAAAAGACTGTGATGCAACTGTGGCTTTGTTGATGTTCGGAGTCTTCAAGATCTGAGTTAATTTTTGGTTTCTGGAAATCTCACGTCTGCCCTGATAGGAAAATGTTAAGGTCTTTTATATTGCTTGTTTATGGAGAAAAGAGTCCAGATGAGCACGCAAAAGCTTTCTATGGGATACTCTGAAATGATTTGTAGGAAACAAACCTGTTGTCTTTTGAGTTCTTTGTAAATGTTTGTAAGAGTTGTTTGTTTGTGATTATCTCCCACTGAACATGCTGAGATTTACTTCTAGAGCAGCCTTAGCCAGGTAAGGACTGTCTCAGCTTTGGGTAGACCCAGGTGTGAAGTGCATGAAAGTGCTTGGGAGATTCTTCATCCAACTTTCTCCTCAGCCCATGTTGTAACACTGTTACTTACCATGAATTGTAGTAACTGCCATTGGGAAATGGGGAAGCAACACTGCAAATGAGAAAGTCTGACTGTAAAAGCTGTGATGTAAAAGCTTGCAGGTTGATAAGAATTTGTCACTAAATGAGGCTTTGAATTGTGTACTTGTTATCTGAACGGTTGTGAAACAAACTAGCGACTGTACAGGTCTGGCAGAACAGAAACACATTTTCTTATGGAGAGATGGGTGTTATGGACAGTAATTCTTTCTTCGTGGGAGCAGCTCTAGCACAGGGGGCTGTGCAGCTTCTCTTGGGCTGGTTCCTGCTGGGAGAGATGTTTGAATGCTGGTTTCTGTGTGGGAAGTTCAGACAGGGCGGTGTCCCACGTGTGTGTGCCATGAATAGCACACACGTGCTCGCGATTTGGGGAATTATCCCAGAGCTGTGTCTCTAACAAGTGTGTGACCGGTAATTCCCAAACCTTCCTGCGGTGCTCCAGCTTTCGCTGGATGTCTGGCAGCTCTGCAGAGGCCACGGGCGGTGCTCTGACGAGGCTGCTGGCTGGGAAAGCAGAACAAATGCTGATGGGCGATAACAGCAGGGAGGGCGGGGGGATGTTGATGTCCCCGAGGAAAGCCGCAGAGCACCGGTCCCTGTTCCCTGTTCGTGTTCCTGAAGGCCTGCACTTCACACTCTGAGCATTGCCATCCTCACAGGCTTTCCTTCAGCTGCACTGAGCTTGTGTCTTCCCCTCCATGTCCGCAATGCCGGCACCTCTGAGAATGAAGCTGTTTGCTGAGGGGTTTATACTTCCATTTGTGTATCTCTGCTGAGGCTCTTGCATTGAAAATGTTTACCAAAAATATTAATTAGTACTGGGAGTTCTATGCTTGCTGGTCTGTGATTTGCAATATTGGGTGTGGAATCTGATAGAGGAGGTTGTGAGCATAACTTCAGTGGCTTTTGCTTTTAAATAGTATTTCAGACGTAGGCAGCCTGAGCCTGCCTTGTTATGGTTACTGTGATTTAAGCAACAAAACCCCATTGACACTATAAGCTCAGGCTTCATTCAAAAAACCTGCTAAAGTCTATCACATCAAGAATTTGTTAATATGTTAATTGGAGTTCCTGAATTTCCATTTATGGAAGGAACCCAATGGCTTGGTTAGAATCATATGTTGTGGCAAAATTTAGAACTGTCATCTTATTGTGGCTGTACTTATCCAGTGGCTTTTGAAACAGTGAGGCTATGTCTGTTTTCTCAACAGTAATGTGTTCCTTTTTTTCCTCCATAAAATGGCACTTGCAGCTACAGCTTTATGCACATTTCCCTGGACTTTGTTTGGGTTTGAGCTTTACACTAAACCTGATGGATACACTTACATTTCTGTTGTACCTGGTGGAATAAATATACATGCCCTCCCAGCGAAATGATTTCTTTTACTGCCATGGAGACCTTTGTCACCTTCAAACTGGAGCAGATGTTTGTATTACAATCCTTTAGTAACTGGTGTTGTCTCTGAGCACAACTCCCCAGCCCTGGTTGCAGAGAGCTGGCAGAATGCTGCCCTACTGCAGTTTCCAAGAATATGGCCCCACTTGTGGGCTGCTCAGGGTAAAAATATCTTGTAAATGCCAGTGTGCAACACTTAACAGAATTCTCCTGCTGCTCTGTGCTGAAGTACCTAGGCACAATATGAATTAAAGATGAAGGAAAAGGACACAATTTTAAATTTTTGTTGCGTTGTATACACTGAAATAAAACTCTTCATGGTCTGTGAAAGTATTTTTTGTTTCAATATAGTGCATATTTCAAATCAGAAAGCGTCTCCTTTTTTCCTTTTGCCTGAAAGGCAGGGGGTCTAGGACATTTTAATAGCTTTCATATCCTACTCTGCAAATATGTTATTGCAGCACAATAGTTTCTTTGCATGAGAATTGCTTAAATGATTCAAAAAGGATTGAAAAATATATTTCAAGTTTTAATTTTATGCACAGAACATTAATGAGCAGTGCCCCTTAGAGACTTGCTGTCAGTTTAACATATTCACAATAATCTCAACACAGATGTTATTCCATCTAAATCCTTTTAGAGGGAAGAAACCAGTAATTTTTCCTTGAAGAATGTCAGAAAATATGTTATTGTTGAAATTACATTTTGATCCCAGAATGCTATGTGAAAAATCATTGCTAGGAAGAATAAGTGGCACATTGTTTCTGAGGTAAAATGCATGTGAAAGTTTTTTGAACCTCCTGTAAATTTTAAACCAAGTCAATGTTCTGTTAGTCTCACGCAATTTTGCTTCCCTTGAGGGTGATTGCAGGTGATGATGGAATATCAGCATCTAATTGTATTCCAATTTGAGAGTATTTGCTATAAGTTCAGATTTCTCTATTTGTAGCTGTAAGGTGATGAAATGATTGTCTCTTTTAGATACATTTCCCTGTGCATTCTCTGAGTGCATAAATCAGAATACTTGCTAGAAAGAAAGTCCATATTTGCAGTAACAGTTTTTGTTGAAAAATGCTTTAAGCTCTCTCCCTGTTGTGTGTTCTGTGATATGCCTGTATTTGCTTTATTTGGTGCTCTCACATTGTGCTCTGCCTGTCTGAGCACAGCTCAGGCAGTGAAATGATGCTGAAACAATAAAAGGGGTAAGGTTGTAAATATTATGTTGAGAAATACTGGAGGAACTCTTTCTGTTCCACTTAATCTCCACCAAAGTTGATCTTCAGGGGAGAAGCTGTGATGGGTTACTGGGGCAGAGCCTGGCCATGGGTAAGGGGTGTGTAAGTAGTGTGAAGGAGCACATTTAGGAAAGTGTTGGATGACTCAAAGCAGTGGTTCTGCAGTTTTCCCAGGTTCTAAGAACTCTTCTGCGAGCCCATAAATAAAAGAATAACAGTTATAGTTGTTGACAGCAGGGTACACAGTGCCCCATCAGTTCTGTGCAAAGAGAGCTGCGTGGGGTAGGTCCCGTCAGGTTTTTCTGAAGCTCTTTGGTGGAGAGGAAGGTGAAAGATGGGGGTGCGTGACCAAAAAGTAGAATTGCCAGTTCCAGTCAAAGAAGTGTTTCGGCCTCTTCTGGGGAAAGAAGTGCAGCTCCTACAGCCACTGTGGGTACTATTGGCAGAACTGAAGGTTGCAGTTATGGAATACAGAAAGTGAGATCTAGGTTTCAGGGCTGAAGAAACTCTGTTTTGTGAGCCCTGATGCACAGGATGGCAGGGGGCATGACTTGGGGAAACTTCAGGATAGTGCAGTGGAATATCCTTTATGGCAACAGATTTATTTTGTAGAAGCAGGTGTCTTGATGCCAAATAGCTTTTCATTTCTCCACTTTGCTCTTAAGGGTGCTACAGAGAGAACCACTGTTAATATGATGATATAAAATAGTTGCAAAACTGCAAGCAAACACAGAAAAGACAAAACTTCCAAACACAATTGCTGGGTTTAAATAGGATATATGTTACTTGAAGTAACAAGCCTGGAGAATGAAATTCCGTTCCTGTGTAGAATACCAAGAGAAAGAAATGCATTCAGCAGCAATCTGTTGCAATAGTAGCTGTAGGAGGTCTTGGGATTTAAATTATTCAGATTGTCATACTTATGGCTGGGTTCATCCTATTTTATACTTAGGTGCATTCCAAATGCTCAGTATTTAGATGTGTACACTACAGGTAACGTTGCCATAGTGCAGAATGACTGTACAGTGACTGTAGGAGAAAAAAGACCAAATAAATCTATTTTCCCACTGTCAGTAGTTTTGATATTGAGAAAATATAGGATGCTGGTATTAAATTTAGGTTACAGTTTTGTTGCCTTTGTTTATCCTGAAAGCAGAAAGTATTTTTTTCATTATAGATTTGTGAAAAGGTTTATTGTTATCAATTACTTTATTCAAGGTTTGGCAGCTTCTTTGATTTACTGCTCCTTGTTTAAACTGCACCTTTAAAATTATCCTGAGGAGGTTCATTCTTGTAAGGAAAATCAGTGTTTAAATAGGTGCTGTAACATGATATATGCAATAAGAAGGCAACTGATTAAGCATCTTAATGTAGCTATAGACTTTGGTTTAATAGTTCTTTGACTAACCCAGATTATGACATATAATTTGACACATACACAGCCCAATTCAATGAAAACCTCTTTCAGTAGCATGTTAAATAGTGCCCACTCATGCAGACTTTCACATTAAAGTAATTATGGGGGAGGGGGAAATTGTAAGAACAGAAAGAAAGTTTACTCTTCCTCTTTATAGTGAAAACAAATGTGTTTTTCTCCAGAATCTGCCAAGCCTGTGTTTTAATGATTTAACAGATGGAGTTGGCACATGTGAACCTGGAAGATGCATCTGTCTGATTTTTCCAGTCTGAGGATTTTTTAACTGCATTAATGGCACAGACAATGGTAAAATATCACCTCCCCAGGCTGCTTTGCTCTCCTAACACATAATGTCTCTTAAGGGAAAAAAAAGTGCTAGGAGACTGGGGTGAGCAAAAGGCCATGAGAGAAATGAGGATTTGAAAAGTTTAATATTTTCTGTCTTCACTGCATTAGGCTTTTAAGGCTTTCACTTT